TAATGAAATAAAATATAATCATCAACTTACTGGAATACTATATACTCCCTAACAATAAAAAGCAAGATAAAACTACCTTTTTATAGAAAAAGTTTGCTCCTCCCTGTGGGCACTGCACTCGAGACATCAGGCCCAGAGGTAGGTAATGATGATAGAGCAACAGTGAGTCCACCAGCTCCCCTTTCCCTGTGTTGTTTAGTTTAGTCCACCAACTCCCTTTCCAGTTCTTTAGTTCTCATTCTTAATAATGGACCGAGAGCCAGAGATTATCAGATAAATCAGGAAAGCCTCCAACTAAAAAGGAAAAAAGCAAAACAAAGAGGAAAAAATAGTTTGAGGAAAAACAGACAATTCAGGTAGTAAAAGAAAACTTAAAAAAAAACCCTTATAATTCAGAGAAATAAGAGACACTACTGCATAAAACAAAAGTCTATGAAAAAGGAACAAAGTCTAAGAAAGAGCTCCTAGAGATAAAAAACGACCAAAAATTGAAATCACTAGGAGTGAGGTTAAAAAAAAGAGCTCTTCCAGAAAGTAGAACAAAATGGAAAAAAGAAAAGAAAACAGGACAGAAAAAAAATGAGAAAATTAGAGAATCCAAATAAGAGAAATCTCAAGGGGCGCCTGGGTGGTGCCGTCGGTTGAGTGTCCAACTCTTGGGTCAGCTTAGGTCATGATTTCACAGGTCCTGGGATAGAGCCCTGCATTGCATTGGGCTCCAGCTCAGCAGGGAGTCTGCTCTTCTCTCTCTTTGCCTCTGCCCCTCCCACTGTGCTCTCTCTCTCTCTCTAAGGGAAAAAAATTAGAAAAAAAATTAAAAAAGAAAATCTCAAAAGGAGAAAAGAATTTGTGGTAAAAACTATTAAAGAATAATACAAGAAAACTTCCCACTACTAAAGGGTATTAATCTTAACTCTAAAAGGATGCAAATGCAAAGGACCCATGCCAAGTAACATCATCTTAAAATTTCTGAATGCCATGCTAAAGATCCTTATAGTGTTCAGAACAAAACCAAAACCAAAACCAAAAGCAAAGTCACCCAGAGGGATTAAAATCATCAGAATGGCATCAGAGTCCTCAACAGCAATACTGGAGGCTACAAGACCAGAACACCATACGTACAGAATGCTAAGCAAAAACTATGTTCAAACTAGAGCTACCTATCCAGCCAAACTAGCAATCAAGTATTGGAAGGAGAATAAAGACATTTTCATACTTCCAAGAACTTAAAAAAAAAATTACCTCTTAAGTACTCTTTATTAGGAAGATGCTGAAAGATGTACTAAGCTAAATAAAAGAAAGCCAACAGACAAGATAGATTCTAGAAACAGAGGCCCCAGTGTGTGAGGACAGAGGGAAATTATCAGGGCAACAGCCATGTATCAGCCGCAGAGAGCAAAGATGATAGAGGGTTTCAAGGGGAAGATCTCCAAGAAAAAAAGAAGACAGATTATGTGATGATTACTAGATATTTGGTATATCTGCTAGAAGATTTGAAAATCATCAGTACATAGAAAAGTAAGGAAATGAAAAAAAAATGGTTATTTTGTTAAATTTTAGATTAACCTAGGTTGACGGTCCACAGAAAATTCAAGAGAAAGACCCAGTAAGAAAGTGAAAACACAGAGCTCATGAGAGTTCTAGACCAGAAATAAAGCTCTGAGAGTCAGCAGGGTACAAACTCTTTTTTTTTTTTTAAGATTTTATTTATTTATTTGACAGAGAGAGACACAGCCAGAGAGGGAACACAAGCAGGGGGAGTGGGAGAGGGAGAAGCAGGCTTCCCGCGGAGCAGGGAGCCCGATATGGAGCTCGATCCCAGGACCCTGGGATCATGACCTGAGCCCAAGGCAGATGCTTAACGACTGAGCCACCCAGGCACCACCAGGGTACAAACTCTTTAACATGTCCCTCCATCATTCACATTCCAGAATCCCCCTAAATATTCCCTAATACAAGTGCAAAGTAACACCAAAAATATTTTTCTTAAATCACACCAACTTCCCTACTGATAAGGAAAACTAAAAAAAGGAGACATACACAATTTTTTTCTCCTACAAATTTCAGTAAACAAACCTTCCTACCACCAAGTATTTTTAAAGCTCTAAGTAAAAAGAATATATACCAAACAAAAACTATTAATCCCCGAGTCTGTCTTCAAGAAATATTTGTGAGATCAGACACAGCTACATCTGTTTCCATCATTTTGATATACAGTGACTTTCTACAAGGCACAAGTTAGTGAAATTCTAGAAATGATGCATCTGGGTTATGTGTCTAACTCTGCTGAAGTCACAGAAAAAATACAATCTTTCTACCCAGTACATGAAAAACTTTAGTACCACGGAACAGAAAGCAGAAATGGCCCAACCCTCTCATCTTATAGATGAGGAAACTGAAGCCCAGAGACTAGAAATTTCCTGAAGCAGTTCGTCCCTGGGGCATCATTATCCGAACACCAATCATTTCTTTTCTGTTAGCTGAAAGTTTCCTGGGAACATCCTGACATGTTGGGTATTTTTCCTGTGAGAGCTGAATGATGCTGTCCTTGAACGCATCACCATTTGTAAATGCTATTCCTCTGATGGTTTCCATTTAGAGTGGGTGTGCGTGTTAAAATAAAGCAATTTTATTAGGCCCTGGTCAAATAAGTTAGGTTTTATAAAATACCTCTTGTTTTAGACCTTATTTGGGGTTTCAATTTCCTCAGCTTCCCTCTCACTATGATTTTTTAGGAAAAGAGCATTATCTAACATTTAAGTTGTCCTAGACAAGTGAGGAGAGGAGCGATTCCCAAGTGTCCCTCTGTCCAGTCTTATGCCTAAGGGAGAGGACCCAGGTAGAGTTTGTGTCCCGATCAGCCTACTTCTCCCTGAGGCATAAAATAATTAAATTCACGACTAGACCAGCTAAACGCGGTCCAAACATCTCCGTGGGGCTGCGGGGCGGGGGGGTGGCTCAGACGGCTGGGAGGAAAAGGCTTAGCCGAGCACCTACTAAAATAACAAGGCAACAATATCATCTCCACCGTACACTACTATATACTGCACACAATTTTCATAGTAGATCTGATCCTCTGCAGCTTATGAAAAAGGATTACAGTTACCTGCCTCAATAGAAGAAAACCCTAAATTTTAATTACAACAGAACCAAGGTTTGTCGGTCTTCCTGTTCAAAGAAGAGTCCGTAGAGGGTGCTCAACGCTGCTGCTTTCGGAAACGGTTAACATAAGCACCTCTCCCACCCAAGCCGTTCCTTTCCACCACCAGTTTCCAGCAGTGAAGACTGCTGGACAAGCCGCCACCATCGCTGTCCTCACATGCGTGCAAAGGGGCTTATCCACGCCGAGCGGACCGTCGCACACAGTTCTGGTCCGGGCGCAGGCCCCTTTAGACGAGCGACAGTGACGCGTTTGCCCAAACGCACACCGCCCACCATGGGCAGGAGGGGACTGGGGTGTGGCCAGCACTTCGCGGCTGTCTCGGAACGCCCGGCGGAGGATACTGTACAAGCCGCCGACAGTGGCCAGCAGCACCAAACGCAGCAGCATTTAGGGGGGCGGGGGTGTCCCTCCGCGTCCCGGGGCAGTGGGCGACGCCAAGCTCCCCGCGCAACGCCGCCGGAGACACTTTCTGCGCCGGCGCGTTGCGGAGGAGGGCGGCGGGATCTAAGAACAAAAACCTTCCTGGCACCGATTCCACATCCCTTCCCGATCCTCCCTCAGATCCACTTCGTTGCCCTCTCCCTCAGGGCCGCCACGCCCGGGCTTTAAGAACCAGCCCGGCCGAGCACCGGGGATGAGACACCATCTTAGTCCCTACCACTGGCGCCCAACAGCAGATTTTCCACTCCTGCGGAGTGTAGAAATAGGCTTTTCTCAAACAGCGGACTCACCTCTTTTGAGCCTTCTCCGCCATGGTGTGGACCCTGTCTCCAATTGGAGCGGAGATCGACACAACCGCCTGGGGCCAGCGATGATCTCTACGAGCGATTGGAGCGCCTGGCAGGATCGGGAGGGGGCGGGGCCTGCCGGGGCTAGTGGTTTCTCCTCCCCCTCGCTGAGGCGGCGGTGCGAGGCAGCGTTCATGGCCACTGGCTGATGGTTAGGGCAGCCCGCGGATGGATAGACTCGGATTTAAAACAGCCGCTTAGTCTAATCCAACACACGTCATGTTCATCTCATCATACCCCACCGTTCTTTTTCAGTCTGCTTTCCGGTCTCTGCTCCTTAAGATTCCTGCCAGGCCCCTGCGCCCTTTTCTGTTCAGGGTGAGCTCATCTCTTCCTGGGCGATCTCAGCATTCCCATAAGTTAAATACCTTCCTACCTGCTGGCTTTCTCAGGTTAATATCTCTAGTTCTGTCCTCCTTACCGAACTTCACATCTGGTTATTCCATTGCTTACTTGGCATCTCCACTTGGATGCCTCAAAGTTGTATCAAACCTAAAACGTATAGAAGAAGAGAGCTTTTGATTTACACCCTCAGTTGGTGCTTTGATCTCCATCTCAGTAAAGGGATCCACCATTCACCTAGATGCTCACGCTAGAAACTCAATAGGCATCCTGGGCTTTCCTCACCTCCGTGTATATAATTCACCGGCAAGACTTTGCCACCTCTCCAATGTAAGCTCAGCCGCGGTCTCTCCTGGGTAGTCAGCTCCCTCCACCCTTGACCTCTAAAGTCACACCCCCATCCCTGCCCTCCACCCCCCATCCAAGCCATTCTCCTGCAGCCAAAATCATCCTTTAAAAACCAATCCAGTTATTTTACTTCCCATTCTTTATAAAATCCAAACTCCTAAACTCCTTTCCATCGACTACTTCTGGGCTAGATCCAGCCCCTGCCTACTTCTCTCTTCCTTATTGTCGTGTTCCTCCTCCTCTTTCTCCGATCACACTTTCATCCTCCATGAAGCCAAGCTGACTCTCTGCCCCAGAGCGCTTCCACCTGCCCTGCTCCCTGCCCTGCCCTCCCCTCCCCCCCCTCCCCGCGGGTTCAAGTCTCAGATGTCCCATCGTCCGTGTATTAGTCAGGGTTCACCAGAGAAACAGAACCACTAGGAGACATAAATTAAGAGGTTTATTGCCAGGAATTGGCTTACCTGATTGTGGGGGCTGGCTAGGCAAGTCAGAAGTCTGTAGGGCAGGCTGGAACTCTCATGCATGCAGTGAAGCTGCTGTCTATATAGGTGGAATATCTTCAGGAAAGCTCCAGCTTTGCTCTTAAAGCCTTTTAACTGATTGGATCAGCCCCACCCAGATTATCTAGGATAATCTCCCTTCTTTAAAGTCAACTGGTTATAGACTTTAATCACACCTATAAAATACCTTCAAAACATTACTTAGATTGGTGTTTGATTGAATGGCTGGGAACCGTGGCCTAGCTAAATTGATACAAAAAACTAACCATCACACTCAGAGAAACCTCTGACCACCCAATCAGAAATAGGTCATTTTTGCTGTATTTTTGGTTTTCTCCATCGGATAAGAAGAGGATCCCTCATTCAGGTACCTGGTTGGCTCAGTCGAGAGTACGTGACTCTTGATCTTGGGGTTGTTTACTTAAGAAAAAAGGGACCATCCAGCAGCTGTAATTTTTTATCTTACTATCTCCCCAAAGACTAAGTTCCAGGGGCGCCTGGGTGGCTCAGTCGTTAAGCGTCTGCCTTCGGCTCGGGTCATGATCCCAGGGTCCTGGGATCGGACCCGTCGGGCTCCCTGCTCAGCAGGAAGCCTGCTTCTCGCTCTCCCACTCCTCCTGCTTGTGTTCCCTCTCTTGCTGTGTCTCTCTCTGTCAAATAAATAAAATCTTTAAAAAAAAAAAAAGACTAAGTTCCATGAAAGTAGTCACATGAATTTGTCCCCACTCTTTACTCAATACTGACCACAGTACCTGACACATAGTTGATACTCAAAAAGAATTATTGAATAAAGATATGGATGAATTGAGAACATTCTTTTGTCCCCAAGCATATAAGCACTTACTCATTTTCAAGCAATTTCTGTCTAAATTAATTTGAAAGACTTCTAGGGCATGTGTATTAGACTTCTCCAGAGAAACACAAGCACGGGAGATCACACACACACACACACACATTTATTTTAGGAATTGGCTTATGTGATTATGGGGGCTGGAAAACCTGCAATTTGTACAAGTAGACCCATGGGCTGGAAATTCAGGGAAGAGTTGATGCTGCAGGCTCAAATCCAAAATCCACACACTGGAAACTCAGGGTTTCTCTGACCCAATCTGGAGGTAGAATTGCGGCTTCTTTAGGAAACCTCAGTCTTTGTTCTTAGGGACTTCAACTGATTGGAAGAGGTGCAGCCACATTTTGGATGGTAATCTGTTTTACTCTAAGTATTGATTTAAATGTTAATCTCATCTAAAAACAAAAACAAAAAAACTTCACAGCAACTACTAGATTGGTGTTTGACCAAACAACTGAGCAGTATAGCCTGAGTTGATACAATAATTAACCATCACAGCATGCTTATAAGAAGGACCATTTTATCAACATTAGGTACAGTGTCTAGTGCCTATAAGCTTTTTAGGGACCTACAAACTGTTTGAGACCTGAAAATAAAATGTACTGATTTCAGGGGCACCTGGGTGGCTCAGTAGGTTATGTGTCTGCCTTGGGCTCAGGTCATCATCCCAGGGTCCTGGGATTGAGCCCCAGAGTGCAGCTCCCTGCTCAGTGGGAAGTCTGCTTCCCCCTCTCCCTCTGCCCCTCCCCACTGCACACATGCACACACTCTAATAAAATCTTTTTAAAAAATGTACTGATTCCAGGGTGCCTGGGTGGCTCAGTTGGTTAAGCGACTGCCTTCGGCTCAGGTCATGATCCTGGTGTCCCGGGATCGAGTCCCGCATCGGGCTCCCTGCTCAGCAGGGAGTCTGCTTCTCCCTCTGACCCTCCCCCCTCTCATGTGCTCTCTCTCTCATTCTCGCTCTCTCAAATGAATAAATAAAAAAATAAAATCTTTAAAAAAACCCCCCAAAACCCAAAAATCTTTAAAAAAAAAATTTAAAAAAAAGTACAGATTCCAAAACAAAAAGTACAAGTAGGAATTAATAAATTCCTGCTTGTGCCCTCTCTCTCTGACAAATAAATAAATTTTTAAATTTTTAAAAATTAAAAAATATTTAATTCAAAGACAAAAAGCATAACTTTGGTTTTTTTTATTTTTTAAGATTTTATTTATTTATTTGACACAGAGAGAGAGCACAAGCAGGGGGAGTGGCAGGCTCCCCACTGAGCAAGGAGCCAGATGTGGGACTCTATCCCAGGACCCTGGGATCATGACCTGAGCCAAAGGCAGACACTTAAGACTGAGCCACCCAGGTGCCCCAAAGCATAACTTTTTTCCCTAACAAATTAACTGCAACTCAATTCCTCTGTACCTAACAGTTAAATTTAATGAGGGATGTGATTACATTTTAATATGTTCAATATTGTGTGAGCTTATTCATTGTTCTACTGTTCATCTAGATCTTTGTACCACCTGTGTGGCCTGAAATAAGCTGTCCATCTGTTTGGAAACCTCCTTCCAGAGCCAATTTAAGCACTGCAGATAATTGCTTTTTTATTTACCCACTACAGGATACCCATGGTATACTGCACCTGTCATTCTTTGATGAAAGTATTCATTGCCATTTCCATCTCCCTTGTAGATTGAAAGCTGCTTGAAGGCAGGGGCCATGTCTTATTGATCTTTATATTCCTAGTGCTTGGCACCAGTCTATCATAAAATGGTAGCCCAATAATGCTACCATTTTTATTGTTATCCAACTGTTTTACTTTCAACTACATTTAACAACCAGCTTTAGGCTCCATGCCTTTCCATACTTTATCTAATCCTCATAACCATTCTGTTGAGACGGGCATTATTATATCTGATTTTTTTTATCAAGGAGCTCAGTCTCCAAGAGAAGGGATTTAGCTCAGAGTCCCCTAGTTAATAAGAGATTCTCTCTCTGCTTTTTCTTCTTTGCAGAGCTCTCTCTCACTAAGAGATGGTCCTTGTCCTTAGGACGCTTTTGTATCAGGCTCTACTCTCCTGTCCTTTTTAAAAAGATTTTATTTATTTATTTGACAGAGAGAGAGACAGCGAGAGCAGGAACACAAGCAGGGGGAATGGGAGAGGGAGAAGCAGGCTTCTTGCCGAGCAGGGAACCCGATGTGGGACTCGATCCCAGGACCCTGGGATCATGACCTGAGCCGAAGGCAGATGCTTAACGACTAAGCCACCCACGCGCCCTCTCCTGTCCTTTATCTAAGGCTGCTTGCTCTTGCATGTGTCTTCAAAGATGAAAAATGGCCAGTCAGGTACATCGCTGTAATACTCTGGGCTCAGTAGATGGACTCTACCAGCCAAGAGATGACCTGTTCTTTTCTTGCTTCTAGGCAGTGTCTCTTGTATTTCTTGTCCACACTCCGAAGAAAAGCTTCTCCTTAAATGTTCTTCTCTACACTTCACTTCCTTAAAACCTTATAAAGTTTAACAGGTATTTACTGATTACATAGCATACGCCCAACACTGTTCTATGTGCAGGGGGATACAGCAATAAACAAAACAAAGTTCCTCCCTTGTAGAGCTCACATTGTAGCAGGGGACAGACAATAAACTAATTGAAAAATAGAGAAGAGGTGGTGATAGGTACTATGAAAAAAAAAAGAGAGAAAGAAATAGCATAAGGAAGACAGCAGTGGTTGGGAGAAGGAATCTTCCTGCTCTTTGAGAACCTGCTTCCCTTTCTCATGCTCATGTCCTCGCTCACCCTCCCCAGCTGGCTGGTTATCTGTCCACAACTGGAAAATGAGATTTTTCATTAACTTAGTGAAGAAAATATGACAGTCAGATGACTGGAAAGGCAAATAATGCAGTATGTAAACTAATCGAAATGAGAACTTCTGAAAGCAATGTTTTCCGTACATTCTTAATAGAACACCAGAATGTGTTTTGGTTTCTATAGCGCAGTTCCCTTTATCAGAAAGCCAACTTTTATGCAGCTTCTGGCTGGTGCTTTTGTTTGCTCTTTACTCACCCAGGCCTTCCTGAGCCATATAAAAAGTTCAAAGAGAGCCCGGTTGAGGCATCTCTTACAGGAAGGCACCAGTTAAGGACTCTAGAAAGAACAGTGTCTTTGTTCCAGTTCACAATGGATTGGCTTCAGGGGTTCTTCCTCCATCCTGTATCACTTTATCAAGGGGCTGCTTTTCCTTTTGCACTTCTGTTTAATTATCTCTGCGTCATGGATTCATTTTCCACCCATGCCAGGTAGGTTTAAGGGCTCATTTTGCTCTTACATCTATGAATACCATAGTAGGTCAAAAAGCATGGATCGGCCTGTAGACATGAAGATTAAATAATTAATTATACGGTTGTTTTTAAGTGATTATCACTACCACTGATTATTGATTGTTTGGTCATGAGTATCTTTTTTTTTTTTTTTTTTAAAGATTTTATTTATTTATTTGACAGAGAGAGAGACAGCGAGAGCAGGAACACAAGCAGGGGGAATGGGAGAGGGAGAAGCAGGCTTCTTGCCGAGCAGGGAACCCGATGTGGGACTCGATCCCAGGACCCTGGGATCATGACCTGAGCTGAAGGCAGACGCTTAACGACTGAGCCACCCAGGCGCCCTGGTCATGAGTATCTCTAATAGAGTGAAATGAGACTGGAAATTGACATCATGACTCCATTGACTCAAAGTTTCCCATTAAATGGGAAAAGGATAAAAATAAACTCTGGGGAGAGATAGCTGTTGAGATGGTACAGGAATTCCCCAATCAGATATATCTGTACCCCCACCATATGTCCTACATGTTCTTGAACAGTCTTAATTTCATGGAATTTTATCATTTTCAATAAAATTAAATTTTGTTAAATATATAACTGATTTTTAAAATGCCTTGTATGGTTTCTCAGAGAAATGGAATTAAGTCAAAGCAAATTATGTTAGATTAGCTATGTCTCAATCTAGGGTTTAAAATATTGTCACTAGAGATTTGACAACTTGATTGAAATGATTTTAGATCTAGCTAGTAGATTCTATACACGAGAGACAGTCCTTGTTTTTTGTTTTAAAGATTTATTTTATTGAGGTGCCTGGGTGGCTCAGTCGTTAAGCGTCTGCCTTCGGCTCAGGTCATGATCCCAGGGTCCTGGGATCGAGCCCTGCATCGGGCTCCCTGCTCGGGGGGAAGCCTGCTTCTCCCTCTCCCTCTCCCCCTGCTTGTGTTCCATCTCTTGCTGTGTGTCTCTCTCTGTCAAATAAATAAATAAAATCTTTAAAAAAATCTTTTTTATTTATTTGAGAGAGAGAGAGAGAGCAGGGGGGAGGTGCAGAGGGAGAAGGAGAGAGAAAAACAAGCAGACTCCGTGCTGAGCTCGGAGACTGACATGGGGCTTGATCTCAAAACCCTGAGATCAGACCTGAGCCGAAACCAAGAGTCGAACGCTTAACCAAGTGAGCCACCCAGACCCCTTGAAATAGTCCCTGTTTTTAAAGAAGTTTGTGGAATATCCTTTTGTAAAATGAAAATCCGTTGCCAGAGCGCTACCTCCTAATAGTTCACTTATTTTAGAAATTAAGATTTTTATACACTGAGGATTTTTAAGTAAAATCCAGCTGTATCTAATTATCAGTTAGAATTTCTGAGTTTGACTGAACTGTGGTATGTTATTACACGTTCACAACTGGTTGATGGCCCTTACCTTCATTTAGGAGATGGGGCAGTGGGGGGAAGGGGGGTGTTGTAAAAAAGTTTCCTATTGAGAAAGAATCACAAATAATAAAGCAAAACAAGTGCAAAAACAAAGGTTAATTCCCATCGGGGTAAGATTGTTGGCTTTGGAGACAGCCTGGTGGGTCCTGGGTCCCTCCCTTCCTGAGTTGTCCTTGTGTATGTGAATAGGTTCTCTCCAAGTTAATCCATGAAATGGAAATAATAATGCCTATCTCATGGGGTTATTTTAAGGATTACATAAAGGTATTTCTTATACAGGGATTATTAGCACAATGCCTAGAATAAAATAAGCACTCCGTATATCAAGTATCCTGTGTTGTACATGTGTAGACATTTTAATGTTGACAAAGCCTTAGGGCAGTTGCCACTTTAGGCTTCACTGTGTAAGGAATCCGTGTTCCCCTCATTTTTCCACAGCAAGGAGGTAAAGTCTTGGGCCACAGTGTTAATTGGGGTGGGTTAGGTCAAAGAGAAGCACAGGAATGGCCCAGGCCTTGTGTGATAGAGCTTCTCACACTGGGGCACCTACCAGTTGCTCCCCAGAAAGACTCTCTCACCCATATGTGGATGTCACTGTGCCACAGGGCCAGGATATGTCCCCTCTGATGGTCAAGAAAACACAGGCCGCTTTGACTCTATTTTCCTATCTGAGGAGTCAGTACCTATTTTCACACCTCTCCATTCAGATTTATTAATTTGGCACCAATTAAAACAAACAGGGGCACCCGGCTGACCCCTTTGGGAAAGCATGTGACTCTGGATCATGGGGTCATGAGTTCAAGTGGAAAGAAGAACTGAGTCCTTGTCATGTGAAATTTCCCAGGTCTCTGCACATCCTCAGGGCATCTGACAGCTTCCAAGAGAGGTAGTTTCCACAAACCACTGATGTGGGTCTTTAACAACATGAAAAAAACCACCAACTCCTAAGATCTGAAAGTGCAGTCGAGAGGATTAAGAGCACATATAAAGATTTTCTAATTGAGTTTTCAAACACTTAGAGAGAGAGACGGAATCCCCTTTCCCACTGTCTCTGGAATGGTTCAGGGCAGTGCAACCCAGCGAAAAGGAAAGAGGCTCATCTCGATGAGGCGATGTCTAGAGAGCTCTCCTAGATCCTTGACACTAGGTTTACAACACTTTTCATTCAGGCAGCAAGCCACTAGATTTTTAAGATGTCCCCACCAGGAAACCTCTGGAGCTATCACCCACAGGATTGTCAGAGGTGTTGTTCCCACTTGAGTGATGGACATCAAAGAGAGGTTCCCAGGATCACTAAGGTAGGAATCAAAATTCATCTCCTGAGGGGCCCCTGGGTGGCTCAGTCGGTCAAGTATCTGCTTTCGACTCAGGTGGTGATCCCGGGGTCCTGGGATCGAGCCCAGCATCGGGCTCCCTGCTCAGCGATGAGTCTGTTTCTCCCTCTGCCCTTGCTCCTCCCCCCTACTCATGCTCTCTCTCTCTGTGTCAAATAAATAAATAAGATCTTTTTTTAAAAGTTGTTTCCTGAGATAGTCGTTTTCAAATGGACTCTGGCTTTTTCTCCCTCGGTTCTTTCCTTCAGAAAAACAAAAGGAAGACTTTGGGGTGATTACGGTATGGCTTCTTCAGGTGGTACATGGGGTTTACCTCCATTGGGTTATCCAGAATGACATCTGAAGTGACTCCTTTGTCACACCAATTCAGTCTCACACTTGTCCTTTCTCTTTTAGGTATCTCTTTCTCCTGGCTGGAGGGGGGGCCCTGGCCTTGGCCGCCATGGGTTCCTTCGCTGTGCTTGTCCTCATCCCCGCTCTGTGGGCCGTGGTTCTGATTTCCTGGCTTGGCCCACGGGATGTCCACAGGTGGGCTTTCTTCTTTCAGATGAGCTGGCAGACTCTGTGTCACCTGGGGCTGCACTATACGGAATACTATCTGCAAGAACGTGCTTCCACGAGGTAAAGCTACCTATTCACTTGGCTGTACTAAAGCAGCCAAGGCTTTGCTTGCACCATGGTGGAAGTGAGTTTGAATCCGAATTCTTGCACATTGGAGCAGTGTGACCTTAAGCAAGTCATTTAACCTCTCAGCCTCAGTTTTTTTTCCTAAAAAAAAAACAAAACCAGTGTGTGGGTATGTGTATATGTATATGTGTGTGTATAAGAATACCAGTCTTATAAGACTCTTAAGTTTGAGATAATTAATATAAATGTAATTATATGACTATAAATAACAACCATGTGTTGCCCATGTCACACAGTGCCTGGCACTTTGCTGTATTTATCACTGTGCTTGAAAAGGGCATTGAACCAGGAGCCTCAGGGCCCACAGATGAGGTCTGCCTAGAAGTGACTAAGCACAGTTTGCTCAACTCAGAGTGGGTGGTTTAGACACACAGCCAGTATCCTCTCCTCCCCTTCAGCAGGACCGGGAAGGTAAAAATCCACTGTAAACCTTCTCTGCCTTCCTATGGAAGCTGCTACGCAAGGGTTTTGCTTTCACTGAGACTCAGCTGTTTCCTCCTCCCAGAAGGGTAGTTACCCAGTCTAGGAAACAGAATCAGGCACTAATTACAGTCTAGAGAAGTGTTTTCATGAGTCAGTGAGATCACCCAGATTAGGGGAGAACAGGTATCTCTGCAATCTTGAGGCCTGTGGTCCCTGGCTTCCTCTGTTACCACAATTGGTGTGGGTCTGTGGTCACTCAGAGAACAGGGGCTGTGACCTGTCGAGGCGGGTCCCCTCTCTGATTCTAGTTTGCCATTGGTTCACTCATTCTGCCATCCCTGCCACACCCAGAATCCTTTTCTTTATCCTCACTGTGTTCACCAAAGGCTTTAGGGTTTGCTTCTTGGAAGAAGAGGCAAGATGGCAGGCGGTAGGGGGCGGGGAGTACTGACTGGGGTGTGGTGAATTAGGATTTCATTAAGAAGCTGGGACTTGAGGGCGCCTGGGTGGCTCAGTTGGTTAAGCGACTGCCTTCGGCTCAGGTCATGATCCTGGAGTCCCGGGATCGAGTCCCGCATCGGGCTCCCTGCTCGGCAGGGAGTCTGCTTCTCCCTCTGACCCTCCTCCCTCTCATGCTCTCTGTCTCTCATTCTCTCTCTCTCAAATAAATAAATAAAATCTTTAAAAAAAAAAAAAAAAAAAAAAAGAAGCTGGGACTTGATAGGGGCTGAAGGAGCAAGCTGAACAGGATCTGGTCAATGGGAAGAAGGCTGAGCCAGAGCTGAAATGGGAAGATGTAGTAGTTTGCTCTGACTGTCATAACAAAGTACCAAAGATGAGGTGGCTCACACAACAGATATTTACTTCCTCTGGAGGCTGGAAGTTCAAGATCAAGGTGTTGGCAGGTTCAGCTTCTTCCGAGGCCTCTCTCCTTGGCTTGTAGATGGTTGTCTTTCCCTGTGTCCTCACCTGGTCTTCCCTGTGTGTGTGTCTGTGTCCTAATCTCCTCTTCTTATAAGGACGACAGTCATACTGGATTAGGGTTCACCCCAGTGACCTCATTTTAACTTAATCACCCTATCTCCAAATACAGTCACATTCTGAGGTACTGGGGGTTAGGGCTTCAATGTATGAAATTGGGAGGAAACACATTCGGGCCACAACAGCAGGTGTACGAACAGGGGTTGGTGGTATTTGGAGGCTACTTTGCTTACTGTTTGGTTAAGTCAGGTGAGGAGGTCAGTTGTCCTTAAATCCTCAGACTCACGGATAGAAACTGTGGGCATGTGGGAAACACTGCCATTTTCTCTCCATAGGACAGCGTTCCTGATTGTAGAGAACATATAATTTTCATTAATCTTCTCCATAATAATCTTGCCAGCAGGATCTCTTCTACCTTGTGACACTGAGGCAGGAGCAGTTCAGGTGATTGGTTAAGAACACACCTCAAATTGCTAATGACTCAGTGCACACCCTGAACCCCAAGCTTGACTCACCGTTCCTGAGCACAGATCCCAAAGCCTACAGAATCTTACTGACAGGGACCGGTTCATATTTAAAATCTTCGCCTTCCTATAGTCTCTTCAGTACTAAATTTTTGTTCCTTCCATGGCAAATTTCTCCCAGGTCCCTGATTCTAATCTATAGAAGCTGTTCTTAGAAATATCCTAACAATATTTCCCCCACAATATTCCTTGGCATTCTTTTAGTTGCCTCTCTAAGGATTCATTTCCCCACTTACCTTTTGATCCTGCCCAGAGTAGCCTGTGGTGTGAACTAATCCAAGAGTCTGTGGGGGCACAGCAGGGCAGGACATCGGTCTCCATTGTTCAGAGTGGCTGTTCGCTGTGGGGTCACGTGTGAGGGACTGGGATGGGATGAAATAAATACGGAGCATTTTCACATTTTAAATAAATCTCTTTCAGGTTCTGCATCACTCTTTCTTCCCTCATGCTCTTGACCCAGAGGGTCACATCCCTCTCTCTGGACATTTGTGAGGGAAAAGTGAAGGCACCATCAAGAGACATCAGGGAAAGAAGCTCGTTGTCTGAGCATCTGTGTAAGACACTGCCCTATTTCAGCTACTTGCTCTTTTTCCCTGCTCTCCTAGGAGGCCCCCTATGTTCCTTCCAGAAATTTCAGGCTCGTGTTCAAAGGCCCGGCAATTTGTGTCCCAGGCACTCTGTCTGGGCTCTGAGCTGGAGGGGTCTGCAGATCCTGGGCCTCGAGTGCCTAAAGGTGGTCTTGGGGAAGGTGGTGAGTGCAGGAGCAGGTCTGACTGACTGCGGGCAACTCCAGTGCATCCATGTCATGTGGTCCACAGCCGGGCTCTTCAAACTCACCTACTACTCCTGCTGGATCCTGGATGACGCCCTCCTCCATGCTGCGGGCTTTGGGCCGGGGTTTGGTCAGAGCCCTGGTGAGGAGGGATACATTCCTGATGGGGACATCTGGACCCTGGAAACAACCCACAGGATTTCCCTGTTCACGAGAAAATGGAACCAAAGCACAGCACAGTGGCTCAGACGCCTCGTATTCCAGCACGGCAGGGCCTGGCCCCTGCTGCAGACGTTCGCCTTCTCGGCCTGGTGGCATGGACTCCATCCAGGACAGGTGTTCGGTTTCCTCTGCTGGGCTCTGATGGTGGAGGCTGATTACCTGATTCATACCTTTGCCCGCTTGTTTGTCAGATCCTGGCCGATGCAACTGCTCTATAGGACCCTCACCTGGGCCCACACCCAGCTCATCATTGCTTATATAATGCTGGCCGTGGAGGCCAGGAGCCTCTCCTCTCTCTGGCTGCTGTGTAATTCTTACAACAGTGTCTTCCCCCTCGTGTATTGTATTTTGCTTTTTCTGTTAGGAAAGAGAAAGCACACATTTAACTGATATCTTTCCCCAGCCTTCATCTTATACATCCATGAAACAGAGTTTAGAAAATGCCAGATGGTGTGTTGATGATGGCTATGCTTGAACTTTTCCATACTAGAAGTTTTTTTTTTTCAAGTATTGGATGTATATATCTGATGTCTGCCATAGAAATTTGTGTATCTACTTTCACAAACTATTACACTCGTATTGAAGATTCAAAAAAAAAAAAGACAAAGACAAAGACATGGTTTCTTCCCTTAGGACTTATAGTTTAGGCGGAAGCAAAGTAAGGTGATAGGTAAAAAGCATAAGGTACTGCCAAGCAAATGGCAAATGGTAAACACATGGACATCCAAACACTGAGTCTCCAACATGTCCACTTGGGATCCTGGACTGTGAGTTTAGCAAGACAAAAACAAAAAAAACAAAAACCTAAACCGGGGCGTGTGGCTGGCTCACTCAGGAGAGCATGTAACTCTTGATCCTGGGGTCGTGAGTTCTAGCCCCATGTTGGGTGTAGAGATGACTTAAAAAAAAAACCTCTAGGGGCGCCTGGGTGGCTCAGTCATTAAGTGTCTGCCTTCAGCTCAGGTCATAATCCCGGGGTCCTGGGATTGAGCCCTGCAATGGGCTCACTACTCAGCAGGAAGCCTGTTTCTCCCTCTCCCACTCCCCCTGCTTGTGTTCCCTCTCTTGCTGTGTCTCTCTCTGTCAAATAAATAAAATCTTAAAAAAAAAAAAAAAAACCTCTAAATCAAATTATTGTATTGGTTTGCTGCATGAACTGGAGACTCATCCTCATCTACAGGTAATTTGAAAATTTTGGTCTCAAAATGGAAAAGCTGCTATTATCTCCAAATATGTCAATAAACTGAAAATCTGGCTGACCTGTGATAACCACTTACATAATAGTTAAGCACAAAACCGATCCATGAGATATATCACACAAAGAGGCCAAAAACAAGAAGTAAGCCCTATTTTAGTACGACGTTGAGGGTCTGGTTCCCTTTTCTTGGCATAGCCTAAATAACTCTGTTTCTTCCTCTGTGAGGGCCCCAAGAGAAAGCTGTGAAGACCTCTGAGTGGTAGCGAAGCCGTGTCATCTCATGGTTGCTGTCACAGTGCCTCTGCCAACCTCCCAGCTGGTCACATAATTCGTTTCTCTCTCTCTCTGTTTTTAAAGATTTTATTTATTTGACAGAGAGAGAGAACACAAGCAGGAGGAGTGGGAGAGGGAGAAGCAGGCTTCCCGCCGAGCAGGGAGCCCAATGTGGGACTCAATCCCAGGACCCTGGGATCATGACCCGAGCCGGAGGCAGAAGCTCAACCCACTGAGCCACCCAGGCGCCCCATAATTAGAGGTTTTCTTTAAATTAACTTTAGTTCAGCTTACTTTTAAAACTTACCCTCTGAGCAATGGCATTGCTTAAAATTGAGTTTAGTGGATTAACTATATTTCACTATCACACCCACTAAAAGAAACATGTACAAAATGTTTCTTTGTGTCCCACTTAAAATCATCCGCTTACCCCATCTATCCCACTGCAGGAAGCATGGTATGAGCATCGAATCTTCCAAAACCAGCCATCTGCATGTTTAGAAATATATAATGTTTAGAAATATTTAGAAAAATATAATATATAAAAATATAATTCCAAAATATAAAATTGCAAGTGGGCTTCTAATCTTTAAAAGTTGACAAAGATAATACTAAGAAGTGATGGATCACTTAGAAAGTTATGTCAATATCACTCCCTGAGCTGTTTGTTTCCCTTCATGTCAATCTTCACACACAGAACATACCACAGCAAGCAGTGAGGGCCTTGAATAGGTGGTATGAATTTGTAGTGGCCTTAACTGGCCTGATTCTGGACTTTCTCTCTCCACACTCAATAGCCCAGAGGAGACAATGTGGACAAACGGGGCTTTCCAGGGTTGGCGATAGTCAAGGGGAAACAGCCAATAGCCAAGGGGGTGGTAAAGTACTCTAAGACTATTACAAGCAAGTCACTGGAAGGACCATCCTTAGAATCCAATCCAGAAGGGCAAGTGGGATGGCGGTGGTGGTGTTATGGGAGGAAAGATAACAATCATCACAGCATTACTGATCATTAAAAAATGGTCAGCATTAGGAGAATGATTAAGCAAATTACAATGGACTGTGATAGAGCTATTAAAAATCAATGCTTGGGGGCACCTGCGTGGCTCAGTCAGTTAAGCGTCTGACTTTGGCTCAGGTCATGAGCTCAGGGTCCTGGGATAGAGCCTCGCCTTGGGCTCAACACTCAGCGGGGAGTCTGCTTCTCCCTCTGCCCCCCTCCCACTCATGCTCTCTCTCTAATAAATAAGATCTTTTTTAAAAAAAAAATGAGTACTTGTATAGAGGCTTCTGAGAAGCTAGCCACGTGGCTGTATGTGTTCTGTTTATGAAAATCCTTCAAACTGTACACTTACGTGTTAATTCTCCTAATGCTGACCATTTTTTAATGATAAATAATGCTGTGATGATTATATGATTAACTTATGTACAAGTTTCTGTATGTATATTACACTTCTGTAATTTTCTTACATGAATGCTTTTAATGGTTAGGAAAAGGCTTATGATAGAATGCTCAATTTTAAAAGTAGTTGGGTGCTGCCTGGATGGCTCAGTTGGTTAAGTGTCCAACTCTTGATTTGGGCTCGGGTCATGTTTTCAGAGTTGTGAGACTGAGAGCCCTGTGTCGGGCTCCACACTGGGCATGGAGCCTGCTTAAGATTCTCTTCCTTTGCCTCTGCTCCTAGCCCCCTCCCTTTATAAAAAAAATTAAAAAAATAAAAAGTTGGTTAATAAAGTCAAACAAAGTGCAATTTGGTCTCTAAATCTATCTCCCCGTTGATGGCCAGGGGTAATTTCTGCTCCTCTGGTTAAAACCAGGACATGTACTTCCTTCCCTTTCTATTTGCATCCTATAAAAGTGTTCCATTTATACTGGACAGTATAAAGAACATGTGATTTGAAAGAATTAATCTAAGGAAAAAAGTCACAGCCAGAGATGTAGACCCAGGAGCCATCTGTCTACACAGAGAAGATCCCGGATCCAAGAGCAGAGAACAGAGAATGTATCTTCTTTCAATCCTCATTTCCTTTGTTAGGACTTAATTTCTGAGTTCCTGACTCCTGCCCCCACTGCTTCCTCAACAATTGCCAACTTTAGTTTCCCTTTTCTTCAGTTACTGATTGTCACTCTCCAGACCCTGCCCATTGACACATTCCCTTTGACACATGATGGATAGCACCTGCTTATTCACCTCTCTCATTTTTTTTTTGAGGGAGAGAGTGCACGTGCGCATGCACCATGCGTGGTGGGGGAGGGGCAGAGGGAGAGGGAGAGAGAGAATCTTAAGCGGGCTCCACACCCAGCACTAAGCCCGATGGGAGGCTCTATGTCATGACCCTGAGATCATGACCTGAGCCGAAATCAAGAGTTTAACCAACTGAGACACCCAGGCACCCTTTGGCATCCTATCTTTTATCAGCCAAATTACTCTGAAGAATTTGGTAGGAGCCTTTACAGACACCCCCATGAGTCCTCATCCAGTTGTTGGAAAATATCATTGTGTGAGATTCTGTTGATTCAGAGAGCCCTAAAAACGGGATAAGCCATGATAACCAAAAAGCTCAGAATGCTGGCAAAACTTAATTAGAAAAAATTTAACACAAAGCTACAAAATTTGCCTTCCTAAGAGGACTCAGGAACTGTAGATGCCATCATTTGTCTATTGAAATGGCATTGCCTAGGAAGTGTTCCATGAAAACTTCAGTCCACCTTTCAATCTATTATTTTGGGTAAGGTAGGCTCACAGGGCACCCCCTGGTGCACATGCACCACTCACCTATGTTGGCCTCCTTACAAATCTGTTGGTAGCTGCCATAACCAATAGGCAGCAAGTGGCTCTCAATGGGTAACTCCGATTTAGCGATCCATCCCAATTGTTAAAATTCTCCAAAGGAGACTATCCAATCTTGTTTTTTTTCTATCCATGTAGTTGTTTTTTTTTTTTTTCTGTCCATATAGTTTTTATAAAGCAGGCCATAGGGAGACTTCACTGACAAACGTCCACACAATTAGTTCATCAATCCTTGATTCATCAATTCCATGAGAACATGGAAAAGGAGGCCCAGATGGAGAGTTTTGAGGAGTTTGTCCTAGCATACATTCGTAGATATTTCAAACCAGAAAAGTACCAAGAGAGCCAAGTTCTATCTCTGCCCAAAGGATGCTACTCACTTGACTGATCTCTTGCATCAATGAACGCTCTCTCAGGTCACCTGAGCCGCTCTGGCAGCCAGCCTGCCGAGCCTGGGCGAAGAGGAAGGGATAAAACAATGAGAAGCAGGTTGATGGTGAAGCAGGTTCAGTAGGTGTGAAAGAACAGATTTGACCACCGTATTCATACAAGCACTATGGAGACCAACAGATTATGAGCATTACAGTGACCAATTGCTATAAAAGAATAAAGCAATCACTAGTAACAATCCTGATTAAAATGCCAAGTATTAGACTGTAGATTCATGTCACTTCCAACAGGTTCTTCTCTACATGTTTTAACATAGCAGATGGTGCAGGAAACTTGGCTCCCTGTAATCCCAGGGTTCAGCACTGAGAGGTGGAGGGTTAGTAGTTATATTTTATGTGAACCTTGTCAACTACACCTATTTCCAAAACAATAAAAATGTGCAAGAAATTGAACAGACTTCTCACAAAAAAAACAGGTACTTCACTCTTTGGCTATTATAAATAATGCTATTATGAACATTTGTGTGCAATTTTTTGTGTAGATCTAAGTTTTCAATTCTCTTAGGTATATATGTATGAGCAGAATTGCTGGGTCATATGGTAACTATGTTTAACTTTTTGAGTAACTGTCAAACTGTTTTCCACATCAGCTGTACATTTTACATTCTCACTCCAATGTATGAGGATTCCAGTTTCTCCACATCCTTGTCAACACTTGTTATATCTGCCTTTTTCATTCTAGCCATTCTAGTGGGTTTGAAATAGTATCTCATTTTTTTTTTAAAGATTTTATTTATTTATTTGAGAGAGAGAGTGGGAGGTGGGTCAGAGGGAGAGAATCTTCAAGCAGACTCCCCGTTGAGCAGGGAGCCCGATGTGGGGCTCCAACCCACGACCCATGAGATCATGACTTGAACCAAAACCAAGAGCTGGATGCTCAACCAACGCCAAGCCACCCAGGCACCCCTCTCATTGTGGGTTTGATTTGCATTTCCCTAATGACTAACAGTGTTGACCACCTTTTCATATGATTGTTAGCATTTGTATCTTTTTTTGAGAGAAATGTCTATTCAGATGCTTTTGCCCATTTTAAAATTGGGTTATTTGGGTCTTTCTGCTGTTGAGTTGTTAAGAGTTATTTAAATATTTTGGATACTTGATCCTTATCAGATATATAATTTGCAAATATTTTCTTCAATTCTGTGGGTTGTAGTTTCACTTTCTTTTTTTTTTTTTTTAAAGATTTATTTATTTATTTGAGAGAGCGAGAATGAGAGAGAGTACATGAGAGGGGGGAGGGTCAGAGGGAGAAGCAGGCTCCTCGCCGAGCAGAGAGCCCGATGCGGGACTCGATCCCGGGACTCCAGGATCATGACCTGAGCCGAAGGCAGTCGCTTAACCAACTGAGCCACCCAGGTGCCCCTGTAGTTTCACTTTCTTGATGGTGTCCTTTGAAGCACAAAAGCTTTTAATTTTGATGAGCACAATTTGTATTTTTCCCTTGGTTGTTTGTTGCTTGTCATATCTATGAAACCATTGCCTAGTCCAAGGTCATGAAGATTTACACCTACGTAAATCTTAAACTTTTATAGTTTAGCTCTAACATTTAGGTCTATGATATATTTTGATTTAACTTTTGAAGATAGAATGAGGTAGGGGTCCAATTTCATTCCTTTGCATGTGTTTATCCAGTTGTCCCAGCACCCTTGCTAAAAAGACTACTCTTTCCCCTTTGAATTGTCTTGGCCCCTAAAGTTGATTTTTTTTTTTTTTTTTTTAAGTAAGAACCAGAAAAGGGCACTTGGGTGGCTCAGTTGGTTGAACGTCTATCTTCGGCTCAGGTCATCACATACCTTAATCCAGAGGTCAGGAAGTTTCCAATAACACCCACAAGTCAGGAAACCACTGCCAAAGTCACAAATTCCTTGCATCTGCTTAAAAGCAGTGGAATGCAGTCTTGTCAACCCTTGAGAAAACTCACATCTGCTTAAGCCTGCATACCACTGTTGGCAGAGGAAGAACATCTTTCGCTCTCCTCAGGTTTCCCAAAGCATGGTGAGTGTATTTTATTAGCAAAATATAGATTAAACACAGGACCCTGGAGGCAAGAGGATCTGGAAAATAGAGTTTCAAGACCCCTATAATAGAGGTGGTGGGAATGAATGCTGGTTATCACTGAACAATAAATATACAGCTTATCAACCAGTCATGGACAAATACTGCATGATTCCACTTTTTTTTTTTTTAAGATTTTACTTATTTGAGAGAAAGACTGGGAGAGAGAGAGAGAGAGAGAGAGAGAGAGCACACTAGCAGGGGGAGAGGCAGAGGGAGAAGCAGGCTCCTTGCTGAGCGGGGAGCCTAATGTGGGACTCTGATCCCAGGACCCTGGGATCGTGACCTGACCTGAAGGCGGACGCTTAACTGACTGAGCCACCAGGCACCCCTGCATGATTCCACTTATATGAGGTTCTAAAGTAGTCAAATTCATAGAGACAGAAAGCAAAATGGTGATTGCCAGTGGCTAGAAAAGAGGGGGAAACGAGGAGTTGCTACTGAGTGGGTATAGAGTTTCAGTTATGCAAGATGAAAAAGCTCTAGCAGTTGCTGTACAACCATGTGCATATAGCTAACAATACTATACTGCACGCTTAAAATTCATGAAGACAGTAAATCTCATTTTTTTTTTTTTTTTTTTTTACATCTATCCATCTTATAGAAAAATCATTCAAAGGGTTATTTTGCAGGGCGCCTGGGTGGCTCAGTCGTTAAGCGTCTGCCTTCGGCTCAGGTCATGATCCCAGCGTCCTGGGATCGAGCCCCACGTTGGGCTCCCTGCTCGGCGGGAAGCCTGCCTCTCCCTCTCCCACTCCCCCTGCTTGTGTTCCCTCTCTCTCTGTCAAATAAATAAATAAAATCTTAAAAAAAAAAAAAAGACTCACAGGTTAAAAAAAAAAAGGGTTATTTTGCCCTCTTTATATTCTACAACCAAAATAATATCACATAACCCCTGTTGCAGTCTTATGATATTTCTCATTCTTCTATTTTTTCCCAAGTGTCTGGGGAGATCTGGATCCACCCTATTTTTTTTTATTTTGTCATGGAGTGGGCATCAACTAAGAGTTTACCCTCACTTAGAATCTGCTTCAAAGGGGTGAACTATTTGGACCCTTTTTATAGCCTTGCCTGGGACAAAAACAATTGGTTTAATAATGACATTTATAATTTTATCATTTCATTTGAAATGGCTTCATATGCGGGCGCCTGGGTGGCTCAGTTGGTTAAGCGACTGCCTTCGGCTCAGGTCATGATCCTGGAGTCCCTGGATCGAGTCCCGCATCGGGCTCCCTGCTCAGCAGGGAGTCTGCTTCTCCCTCTGACCCTCCCCCCTCTCATGTGCTCTCTCTCATTCTCTCTCTCAAATAAATAAATAAAATCTTAAAAAAAAAATGGCTTCATATGCAACATTAGAAGTAAATTAGCATAATTGCCTCAAGAAATTGCAAGTAGTACATATTTGCAACAATGCAAAGTTTAATTTTCTGAAAAAGTTGCACACATATCTTACTTATAAAAAACAATGAACTGTCATCACTTTTTAAGACTGCTTTTGTTGTGGTAAAATATAACGTAAAAGTTACCATTTTCACCATTTTTAAGTGTACACTTCAGTGGTATTAAGAACATTCACATAGTGGTGGGACCATCACCACCATCCATCTCCAGAATGTTTCCATCATTCTAAATGAAAACCCTGTACTCACTAGATAGCAACTCCCCATTTCCCACCCCCCCAGTTCCTGGTAACCACTGTTCTATCTTTTGTCTCTGTGAATTTCCCTATTCCAGGTACTTCATATAATATTTGCCATTTGTCGGGCGCCTGGGTGGCTCAGATGGTTAAGCGTCTGCCTTCGGCTCAGGTCATGATCTCAGGGTCCTGGGATCGAGTCCCGCATCGGGTTCCCTGCTCAGTGCAAAGCCTGCTTCTCCCTCTCCCTCTGCCACTCCCTCTGCTTGTGCTCTTCTGTCTATCTCTCTGTCAAATAAATAAATAAAATCTAAAAAAAAATATTTGCCATTTGTGTCTGGCTTATTTCGCTGAGCATAATGTTGTCAAGGTTCATCCATGCTGTAGCATGCATTAGAAGTTCATCCTTTTTTAAAGTTGAACATTTGGGTTGTTTCCACCTTTCGACTACTGTGAACAGTGATACTATGAACGTTGGTGTAAAAAAAAAAATCTGTTTTGAGTTCCTCCTTTCAGTTCCTTTGGTCATATACCTAGAAGTGAATTTCTGGATCACATGGTAATTCTATGTTTAATTTTTGAGGAACTACCAATCCATTTTCCACAGTGGCTGTACCATTTCACATTCCCACCAACAGTGCACAAGCATTTCAATTTCTTCACATCCTTGTCAACACTTGTTTTTTTCTGGTGTTGTTTAAATATAATAGTCATTCTGGGGGTGCCTGACTGGCTCAGTTGGTAGAGCATGTGACTCTTAATCTCAGAGTTGTGAGTTCAAGCCCCATGTTGGGCAAGGAGCCTACTGAAAAAAAAAAAGGGTATATATATATATGCATATATATACACATATATACATATGTATATATATATACGTCATTCTACCGGGTGTGAGATGGTATTTCATTGTGTTTTTTCTAAAGATTTTATTTTTAAGTAATCTCTACACTCAACGTGGGGCTCAAACCCACAACCCGGAGACAAGAGCTGCATGCTCCATCAACTGAGCCAGCCAGGTGCCCCTCACTGTGGTTTTGATTTGCATTCCCTTCTGATTATTGATGTTGAGCATCTTTCAATATGCTTATGGAATTTTTGTTTATCTTCTTCGGGAAAAAGTCTGTTTAAGTCTTTTGCCCATTTTCAAATTGGGCTGTTTGTTTAATTATAGTTCTTAAATCATTTCTTATTTTAATCTTTATCCTGAGAGAAAAAAATAATGAAAGGTATGGTGAATACTAGGGGCTTTAGTCTCATATTGGGTGATTTGACAAAGATCTCTTCAACCAATCTTACCCTGGAATTATTAACCTGCAAGGAAAATGAAAGATCTTTTTAAGGCATTTAGGTAAAATTAGCAAGTCATTCTCTAAACCACCACGATTCATTCCCTGTAACTCCCCACATAGCCCCCCAAGCAAAATGTGTTTCTGTGGCAATAATTAAGAGAAATAGCCATGGGGCAAACAAACAACAGTGTCTGCCTCCTGTAGTTTGTCTTGTTTTTTGTTTTTGTTTTTTCAGAGAGAGAGAGAGAACGAGCAGGAGCACAGGCACGAGCAGGGGGAGAGAAAGAGGCAGAGGGAGAAGCAGGGTCCCCGCTGAGCAAGGAGCCTGATGTGGGACTCGATCCCACAACTCTGGGATCATGACCTGAGCTGAAGGCAGACGCTTAACTGACTGAGCCACCCAGGAGTCCCAAGTTTGTCTTCAGTGTTAAAAAAAAAATTTTTTTTTAAGCTAAGAATTTAAATCTTGAGCATTAACGACAGAATGACAAATACCTGGGGCTTATTTATCTGAACATCAGTGTCCATTCCACAGACTCTGGCAAATGCCCTAGCTCTCTTGAGGGAGGAAGAAGCAGTTTCTCTTCAGACCCTTGGAGGGAGGAAATGCAGAAGTGCTCCAGTGACTCTCTTCAAAGGGTTACCTTCTCTACTCCTCCATCCTCCACATTTTACTTCTACAGGTAGGAAGTGGGTGCGCACTCAATAGATGTGACTTAGCACCACATTTAAGGACAAAGAGATAGAAATTGGCATCTCTGTATTATTCTTGGTTTGGGGGACCTCAACTGAGATTGAAAGAGTCCTATTTATCATTAGTATAGTAAGATCTCATTTTAATAAAAAAGCATTTTTAAAATTACATAGACATATCTAGTTAATATTTTGACATATAGGTATTATGGGCGGAATTATGTTCCATCAAAATTCAGATGTTGAACTCCTAACTCCCAGTACCTCAGAATGTAACTGTATTTGGAGATGGTGCCCTTACAGAAGTAATAAAGGTTAAGTGAAGTCAGAGGATAGGTCCTAGTCCAATATGACTGGTATCCTTATAAGAGGTGATGACACAGTGAGGAAGAAGGTAGCCTTCTGCAAGTCAAGGAGAGGCCTCAGAAGAAACCAACCCTGCTGACACTGTGATCTTGGACCAGCCCCCAGAACAATGAGAAAATAAACTTTTGTTTTATTTTTTTTAAGTAAGCTCTATGCCTAATGGGGCTTGAACTCATGACTCCAAGTTCAAGAGCTGCATGCTCTGCTGACCGAGCCAGCCAGGTGCCCTGAAGTTTCTGTTGGTTAAGCCTCCCAGTTTGTGGTAGTTATGGCAGCCTAGCAGACTTCTACAAAAATCTTCCAACTTTCTCTACATATACATTCCTATGTATTATATATGTGTACTTACATATTCTCAAAAATTAGGATTATACTCATTTGTATTTTCTAGCCTGCTTATTAAACTTATTATAAAGTGTTCTTATGTCTGCATTTTTACAATGTGATTTTTAGTAACTGCCTAAAACATTCATGACTTATTTAATCAAACTGCTATGTGACTTTAACATTGTTTTAATTTTTCACTGCTATAATTAATAAGGTGATGGCTATCTTCTGATTAATTCCCTAGGATTACTACTATTCAGGTAGTTAATAGGTTAAATAGTATGCATACATAGAGGCTTTTAATATTTATCACCAAATTACATTTGAGAAATTTTTGGCTTTCTTTTGTTCTTGTTGTTGTTTTTTTTTTTTTTTTAACGTAAGCTCTATGCCCAACATGGGACTTGGGCTCACGACACCGAGATCAAGAGCCACACGCTCCACTGACTGAGCCAGCCAGGTGCCCCACATTTGAGGATGTTTATACCAATTTACACTCCTACGAAAATCTGTGAGAGTGATCGTTTCATGTGCCCTACTTGAATATTAGTAATTTCAAAAAAGTCTCTGCCATATTTGTAAGTGGTATAAAGTGTCATATTGATGTTTACATTTCATTGACTTGATTACTAACAATAACGCCCCCTCCATACACTCCTTATTGACCATCTATTTATAAATTTTTATTCAGAAATTGTGTGCTCATATATTTTGCTATTTCTTTTTAAATTTTTTCACTAATCTATTTGTAACACTTCCCTGTAAGACATTCTTCTATCTTTCAAAGTAATTATCTCAAAGAGTTAAAGTATAGGGCCCCTGGGTGGCTCAGTCGGTTAAGCATCTGCCTTCGGCTCAGTTCATGATCCTGGGGTCCTGGGATCGAGTCCTGCATCGGGCTCCTTGCTAGGCGGGCAGCCTGCTTTCTCCCTCTCCCTCTGCTGCTCCCCCTGCTTGTGCACTCTCTCTCTGTCAAATAAATAAAATCTTAAAAAAAAAAAGTAAAGTAAAATATAATAAATGTCTGTGTATGTACCATGAAGTTAAAAAATAAAACATTGAGAATACAATTGAAGTCCTTTTTGAATCCTTCCTTGATTACTTATCCCCACTTTATCACTTCAGAAGAGATTGTATTTTATGTTTTAATGTCATAGTTTATTTATCCCAAAACAATATACAGTATTTTGGGCATGTTTTAAAACTTTATATAAATGGTATTATTGTCTAGTATCCTTTTGTGACTTGAATTTTCACTCACAATTCCTTGTTAGGTTCATCCATGCTGGTGCATATAGGCCCTAGTCCCTTCATTTTCACTGCTGTATAGTGTTCCACTGTGTGAATGTACCACAATTTATTTACCCAGTCTCCTTTCCCCCCCAAGTATTTGTTATTAAAATAATCAGTGATGGACACTCTTAAACATGTTTCCTTGAGTGCCTGTATGATGGTTTCCATAGGATATGCTCCTACTCATGGAGTCACTTGGTTATAATGCTTACATATCTCCAATTTTGCTAGATGTTGTCAAATATTCCTATATACTCTCCAAAGTGGTTGTACCAATGGACACTTACACTAGCAGTATTTGTGGTACGTTTAATTTGCTACATGTCCTTTCCAGTTATTGATATTGTCAAGACTCACAATTTTGCTGATCTGATGGGTGCTAGTAGTACTTAAAAAAACTTTTTATTTTGAAATAGTTTTAGACTTACAGAAAGTTGCAAAAAATAGTACAGAGAATTCATTTATCTTTTACCCAACTTCTCTTTATCAACTTACATAACCACAGCACAATTATAAAACCAAGAAATTAGTATCAGTACCTTATTAACTACTAAACTACTGACCTTACTCAAATTTCACCAATTCTCCCCCAATGTCATTGGTCTGCTCCAGATCCAGATCCAATGGGGGATCCCATTTCCATTTAATTGGGTCTCCTTCCCATCTGTGACAGTTCCTCAGTTTTTCCTTGTCTTTCATGACCTCGGTGACTCGTCTTTCATGACCTTTGATGAGTACCAGTTGTTTCGCAGAATGTCTCTCAAAGTGGGTTTATCTGATGTTTTCTCATGATTCAATGGAGACAAAGATAAAAAAAAAATCTTCCTTCCAGATGAAAATGTTTGAAAGGATAACATGCTTCATTATGAAGAACCCTGTCTTCTGTGGGCAGAGATGGATTACTACAGATCATGCTGTTTTGGAGTAGGGGGCCTGGACTCATGTAAGGGGACCTCATGAGTCCCTTCACAAGGGATTCGAGAATCCCTCCCTTCTAGGGGAAGTAAATGCTACCTGCAACCTGGCACAAGTCAGAGCTATGGACAGACTTGGGGCTGCCTTCAAGCAAGTACACAGCCAAGAGACTATAGAAGACAGTGAGTACAATGATCAGTTTTTTTTTTTTGGGGGGGGGTGAGGGTTGTGTAGTAATTCCTCTCTTTTCCTCAGGCCTTTGGTAAAAGATTTGTTTGAAGTTATAGCCTGATTTTAGATGTGCTTTGCAGGGATCAAGAGAGAGGGTCCTATCCATGGTTGGGGTGCAGGATATAGGGAGAAAGGAAAAAGCAATTAGAAAGTGGTGAAAAGGTGGCTGCAGAGAATGGAGGCCAGTCCAGTGCCAGAGTCCGGCTGAGGGACAAGCACCAACCATGACCAGTTTGTGAAACATACGCAATCCTGGGATTCCCAGAAATACTTTGGAAGAGAAACATGAACAAAAGAACATTAACTGTCACACTGGTTGGGAGCTTGAATGGTTCCTTATTACCATCCTAGACCAAGATCAACCACCATTTTCTTTTTTTCTTTTTTTTTAAGTAATCTCCAACATGGGGTTCAAATGCATGACCCTGAGATCATGAGTCGCAGGCTCAACTGACTCAGCCAGGTGCCCCAACAACCATTTTCTTTGTGAAGCATCTCTCTTTCCTCCCTTCGCTGTTGTTGCTACTTCCTCTAGAGTCACACAGCTACTTGGTAGATATAATGTAGTGGGGACGTCTGAGATACTTTTGTTCTCATCTCACTTTCCATTTTATTTCCATTTCCATAGCCCTGGTGTCTGATTCCAAAAATGTCTGTGGAATGAATAAATGCTTATGGTGGGCTATGCAATGTTTCAGGTGGGAATCCAAAACATCATGTAAGATGTGTAATGGCACGTATAGCTTTTCCCTTCCTTTCCATCCAAGCAGATACTGGGTTCCACGTTCACGCTCACAGGACAGGACATTACAGGGAGAATAAGGTTTATCCGTAGTAAGATTATACTATGTGTCTCTGAATTAAATCCACTGCAATACGATAAAGCAGCTCTGAGGAAAAAGCAAAATAGTGGTCCTGGGTAATCTAATTGGATTTGGGTGCAAAATATGTAAAATGTTCTGTAACTTCATTAGCCTGATTTTATACACAGTTGGTCTGGTCTTTTGGACAGCTTGAATTCTCAAAACTGTAAACGTGGAGCTTCTTTTTGTTCTGTTAACTGTTTCCTCAGTGCTAAATTCTGTGAATTTGTCTTCTTCCAGTGGGCACTCCTGAACTGTTTGGTTATCCCTGTCTGGGAACTCACCTTTGCTACTGAGAACTTTTGGCTAGACCATCTGTTGCTCCTGCTTGCGCAGCCTGAGGAAAGGGAGGGGCGGTGTTTTCAGTGAGTTAGGGAGGAGAAAGATGCGCCACTGAGCAGGGTAACTCTGGTGGCTGGCCTTCTGGACTTGGGTGTTCCCATTTTTGCTCCTTCAGGAAACATGTTCTCCAACCTAAACTGGGAAGTGTGAGATGGGGATGCATAAAGATCTGATGGTTTTGCTGCTCCCACTGCAGCACCCTAAATAATCCCTCAGCAAATTGCCTCGGTATGTTGCCTCTCTGAGCCCCCTCCCACCTCTGGATGCCACCACTTGTGGTGATAAAGGGCCTCCTTGGCATGGCTCCCATATTTTATGGTTGTATCCTCCCATGTGCTTGCCACCAGCATTCTAGGCTACAGTTTTGTTCTTCAATTTGATTATGCTGGTTTTCATTTTCTCAGGGATTTCTTAGTTTCTGATCTATCAAGACTTCCCCTTCTTGTTTTAAGTTTGGCAATATATTTCCCTATTCTTAAAAAAAAAAAAAAAGGCGTATCATTTTTCAGGTTTGGTGGAGGAGTGGGGGGAGAGAGGATCCTGTAGACTTAACCCATCGGAACACTGTGGCAGTGTTTATTAGATAATCAATAGGTCTTCCTGATTACCTTGAAGTACTGCAATGAATGACTGAAGACCAGGGAGGTAGAGCATTTCCAAGAGATACTGTGAGGCTGACGGGGTGACTCCTGTCAGCAATATATTAAGACTGGATTGCTAGAATGTTTTATTTTTTTTAGTTTGTCTACTTCCATGAGAAGAGGGAACTGCTTAGCAGTAGAGAGAACTGGTAAGAAACAGTAATGGTAGCTAACATTTAACCATCTCAATCGCTGTCAGCCCTCGGCAAGTCACATTTAAACATCGCAGCCACCTTATGAAGCAGGTACTATTAGCAGCCTCACTTTACAGATGTGGAATTGAGACACAGAGAGGTTCAATAACTCACTTAAGGCTACACATCTAGTACAAGGAACAGCCAGTGGTACAGGTAGGCTCACTCTAGAGTTCACTGTGTAACCACTATGCCAAGACGTGTGCTACAATGTCAACCCTCAGGAGTTTATAAAGTAGTTACTAGGCTGAAATGTCCATAGTATTGTTTTGTAGGGTAAAGGTTTGAAACAAGGCGAATGATGTCACTTCCACGTAACAAGTAGATATGATGAACCAGTAGTTTGGACATATGGTCTAGACCTTATTGTTTTCAAACTCTCCCTCACTACCTCTTCTTCATCCCCCACCCCCTGACATGACAATCAAAAACTTGGTAGTCACCCCTGACTCCTCTCTTTTTCCCACACAGTTCTTCAGCAAATCTGCTTGGTCGTTCCTTTAAAACACAACATAAATCTCACCCACCTCTCACATCTCCACTGTATCTGGGATCCAGAGTGAGGGGGTCACAATCAAGAAGTGCCCACCACCATTTCTGCTGCCCAACTTCCCCGAGTCCCAGGAATCCTAAGAGCCAACACCACACACAATGCTGCTCCAGAGAAAGGCTCATGCCAAGACCCTGTCTGCCAGCAAGAGACAGGCCAAAGCAGAACAGGAAATTACCCCCACCTCCCTTTTGCTTCCCAAATCTTTTCCTCCTGCAAATCCCCACACTTCCCTTTTGGCATATATAGGAATCAGCTTCCTTTGATATCTTCTTGAATCTCTAGTTCAGAGAGGGACTGTGTTCCTATTTTTTTTCTATTCCCCATTAGTACCTAGAATGTTGTCATGTAGAATATAACTGCCATTGGGAACAAAGAACTTATCTAGATAAAAAGTTTGAACCAAACGTAGTGTTTCAGAGTAAGTATCTCAGTGACATAGTCAAGATGAAATATAAACCATTTCTACCTAATTAGTTGGATACTTCTCAGTGTCTGGAAGGTGTTTTTTTAAGTATACATATTATATATATATATATATATATATATATATATATACGTATTTTGTTTAAAGTAGGTTCTATGCCCAATATGGGACTCAAACTTGTGACCCTGAAATCAAGAGTCACATGCTCTACCAACTGAGCCAGCCAGGCGCCCTTGTAATAATATATTTTTTGAGGACACCTTTAAGCACTAGATTAATTAAGCCATTTATACTTGTAAATGACAAATGTCCCTTCTAGTATGGAGTATGGTTCAAAACCATTTTTTTTTTTTTTTTAAATCCTTGGGAGACTAATACCCTCTTCTTCACTGCTATACTCATTGACTAGATATTAGAGCTGATTGTATATTTTGGAAGTTGATGATTTAGACATGACAAAAAATGAATTAAAATCCATCCATCTTAACTTAATCCTAGAAAGTTGTTCAATTGTGAACACTTTCAGAGACAGTCCCCAAATATTCTATGACGTATACCAAGCTTTCAGGAAAACATCTGTTCTATTTTGGAGGTTCACATATATACACGAGTTCACTCACTTTTATGTCATAACTATATTTACATATTACATAATACATTGATCAGCCGAAAGAGAAAAAGATACTTCTGACATTAAATGCCAACACAGTATAAGTCAAGATAACTAAACTATTAAACAGTAATGCTCTTACAAAGAGATAAGAAAATACTCAGTTTCATTCTATATTATTCTTTTTGATGGTTTCTATGGCTGTAAGCTGCCACAAAGTTTCTCTCTCACAGTATTAGCCATTCTACTGGCTTCTGAAACAAAAGTTCCTGATTGTCCCCTGTGAGTACTCCTCTAAATACAAACAAGAAAACAAACTGCAACTGAAAAAGGAATGTTTCATGGTCATAATTTCTCACTTGTGAAAACATTTTTGAGTTTGACTGTTTTAGTCCTTCTGATAGGAATTTACAAGCTTAACAATTAATATCTGAATTGTTGTGACTACAGTGTATGGTCCTAAACCCTAAGATGGATTCAAATAATCTTCAAGAGACTGGAAGCAAAATATTCAGTACAGAGTGTCCAGTAAAAATGAACTGTAAAACTGTCTTCATATCTAGACTTTCTGCAACTGAAGACAAATGGTGGAGAGAGAGAGAAGCTCTCAGAAATCAGTTAGAGGCCTATGGGTATCTAAGCTCGGGGTAAGTCCTCAAGTTTAGCAAGGGGACCTCGGAGGCACCTCCTGCTGCAGTCACACCTCCCTGTCTGTGCTCCCTCTCACAACCCCCACTGGCTGGTGTACAGTTTTTTAAAAAGGCCTTTGCAGCAGGAAGAAGATTCATCACAGAGCATTTCATTTGTACAAGAGGTGGGAGCACCTGGTTAGGCCCACTGAGGTAACTGTGTATAGAAATGTTACATAATTGATTCAGTCCACTTGGTTACCTAATTTTTCCCCTGGCAACTTTCTATTCCTCCTAATGTAGTATAGTCTATTTATTTATTTTTTAAAAAGGTTTATCCACCCATTTTAGAGACAGCGAGCAAGCAAGCAAGAGAGAGCACATGCATACGCCCATGCACACCACTGGGGGGAAGGACAAAAGGAGATGGAAAGGGAGAGAGAACCTCCAGCAGACTTCCCGCTGAGTATGGAGCCGAAACCAAGGAGCTGGACACCTAACCGACTGAGCCACCCAGACGTCCCCTAAAGTACTATAGTTTAGAAAATTAGAAACAAAACAAGGTAAGGCATGCTAGGAACAAATTCAGCTGTAAGAAAAGCCAGCAAAAACACAATTCCAGAAAAATACAGGTCTGGGGCCATTTGAAAAAGGGGGAAATAATTTATGATAATCCTAAATTACCAAGGAAAACGCAAAATGTCTTAATATATTCTAAGAAAGTACAAAAGTGTATGACTCATTTAATACTTCACCAAAATAAATAAAACAAATGTCAGTTCTCTTTGAGATAAACTTCAGTTACCTGGGATATTTATTTTATAGGATATGTTCTCTTCTCTGGGAACGCCAGAAAATTAGGAGGCCTGTAATAAAATAACAGCTCCCTAATCTTCACCCAGAGAAAGGATAACATAGGCTTATATGGAAGAAACATGATTTTGAATTTCCCACCAGTTTTACAAACCATAAAGCATCCCGAGATGTAAAACGTACATATCACTTGACAGTACTGTTGTTGCATGGCTGCTTGTTAAATCTGACGTGCTGATTTAAAGTTACTTGAAACTTAGGAATGAATCTTGTCACACTCAATATACATATTCCAGGGTTTACTCTAGAAATCTGGATTATTTTGACAAAACACCCCAAAAATTGTATTAGAGCAAACACTAAGAAACTATGATCTAAACTTTTTAAAGTATATAATGAGGTTATATAATTAGGACAGTTTGGGACAAGATTCATGTTTGATAAAAGAGAACAGTATTTTTCTCCGTTCACACTGTACCACACAGATTTTTTACCATTAACTATTTGAAATGTTTGCAAAAAGCAAACTGCTCTACTAATGAATGGTGATAAATGCACAATAAAACATACAGTCATAAAAAAGATCTGAAAATTTAAGAACAGGTACAACCTTGACTTTAGATTATCAACGATCTTTTTTTTTCAACAAAATCATCTATGGCTTTTTTATAAAGGGTTAGGTAAAAATTCTACTTCCCCAGGTTACCAATCCTTTCACCATAGCACAAAATCATAGGGCTTCACTGTTAACATTTATTACTATGGTTTCAATTCTATTTTGGGAGTGAAACTCCAGCAAGTCCAACATTAATGATTAATGCCATACTTGTTTTATATCACATTATTAAAACGAGTAATGCACTTCAGTTCCTGAGGTGCATAGTATATTTTCATTTCAAAAACATCCACAACTAAAATAGATATTTAAAATCTTTATTGTTTCATCATCAAAAGTTTTCTTTCCATAGAAGAATGGCAATGCAGGATCAGTGCATATTCTATGGAAAATTCATACCTCAAATAACTAGCCTAGAAATCAGACAGCACTATGTCAAGCTAGTGTGCAAGACGAAAGACACAATGCTGCCAATGCAATCAGTACACAGAAAGAATATGCAGCTGTTAGAAAAAGAGTCTATGGCCAAGTGAATAAAACAGTAGCAGTGCACTGCACTGATATTCTAGAACAGAAAATGGGGAAGGGCCAGAGGATGTACTGCCTGCAAAAAAAAAAAAAAAAAAAAAAATCAAGTAGATCACAGGCACTGAGTTCCCAACTGTATGGCCAGCTACTTCATGCGTACCTGTACCTTCCTCTTTAGGTCTCCATCATTATAACACCGCAAGTCATGTCCAGCCTACTGTCTAAGTGGGACGGCCACATGCAGATCTTTTGTTCTGCTGCCCATCTCACAGCTAAAGTCACAACATGGGTTCAGCAATAAAACCTGTGGCCTTTACACATCTTCAGTAAAAAGCTGAACAAACCCAAAATCTGTTTCCATTTTCTTGAGAAATAAACTCTATAAAACAACAAAAGATAGCTGTCATGATCACTCAGTTTTGTCTGAAGGCAAAATAATTTTCCTGTAAGTATACTGACTAAACACACAAATATCCTCAACAACATACTGTCAGACCAACTCAAACACTTTCCTAACTAGCTCTAGAAAAAGGTACTGATAATTGTTGAGATGCAAATGACCACTACCATTTGATCATGCCTGATTACCGGGAATTTTTTGGTCAGGTCTGTGTTTGAAGCTGCTATACAGCTGGATTTGGCTACTTTGCATTAATTCACACAATAAATGCCATTTAAAAGGAACAGCGTATCTATCATGATGAAATAAAAATCAAGAAAGTTGAGAGGTATACAGGAAACTTGTCTTAAATATTTTTAAATTACATATGATATAACCTTAGAGAATAAGAACTACAATTACCATGGTCTAAATCTTAAATTGTTAATGCATCACTTCTCTGCAAGACTAACAAGTCACTTGTTAATCATGTCAAGGCCTTGCGGGGCAGGGGGCGCTTGGCTTGTACGGCATAGCGATTACTTTCCAGGTGAGATAAACACCTCTAATTTAAAGTGTTATTAAACTATATTTGAAAAGTTATTTTACTTAATATATACAATGTATAAAATAAGTTAAAAGGAGGAAGCAGGGAAAGGTTTTCTGGTCTAGATGACGCAAACATACAACTTTCCCTTATCAGTAGTATAGTTCCACGTATGTCCATTTCACCCATGGTAAAATATGGAAGGCTGATAGAAGATCAAACATTTCACTCAGAGACAGAAAGAGGATTCAAAAAGTGGAATTTCAATGTCGTTTCTTCCCACAATGCAACTCACTCTACTTTAACTATAATAAACATAAATAAAAACCATCTCAAAAATCTGCTTTTACACGCTTACCTTTAACAATAAATTCTTCTAACAATTGAGAAGAAAAGCACTCCTTTGCAGCAATCCCATAAAATAATTTTCAATTCACAAAACACCTGCTTCCTGGCAAAACCAGCAACCCTTAGGAGGGCACGGGCATTAATACTTGGCCCCTCTGAGGTATAAATGCAGCTATATTTGCGCTGAGTGTACAGTCTATAAGGTATGCCAACAGTCTGTATGTTTGCATAAAATTGGGAGTGATGTCATCCTGACTGATTGAAAACTTCTTTGAACTTTTGCAATGGAGGTTAAATAATTTTAAGACAAAAGATGTCCTTTAGCCCAGTAATAGCCAGCAGAAATCTAATTTCTAACCAATGTAAATGGTTATTATTACATTTTTAAAATGCTTAACATTGCATACTGATTTAAAAAAGTAACTGAACAGGGACACATAAATATTTAAATTCAGCAGGACACCACAAAAAGCATACTAGAGATAAGTGTGAAATCAGTCAAGCTTTTCCAAAAGAGAAAATCCTTTTAATCCTTCAGCAAGTCTCTGTGAAAATAGTATGCTTACAATAAAAGTGAGAAGGGAGCACCTAGAATACCCCCAAGAGGCTTGCTGTGCCACTCAGCTTCCCTGCCCCAGCTCCTGTGTGCGTAGATGGCCAACAAATGACAAGAAGTCCACTTGACAATAGTGCAGTAATTCCTCTCACCACTGCTGCCAGCTGAAGTCATCATTGCTTCCAAAGACCAAGAAAAAGCCCAGTATAGTTGCAAAGATGACTGTGTTTCCTGTGAGAACAAGTGCACAAGCTCCCCACTCAATCTAGGGAAATAAAATAAACACTTAGTTAATAGACACATGAAAAACAAAAGGAGAATGAAAAGCAAATCACACTCTCGTTGTAAGCCAATCACGATCTAAAACAAATACAATTTGTAATAACTTTCGCTCTACTAACACTTAATGGTCTTTCTATATTGCTGTTTTTTTTTTTTAAAGATTTTATTTATTTATTCATGAGAGACAGAGAGAGAGGCAGAGGGAGAAGCAGGTTCCCAAGGAGCAGGGAGCCCGATGTGGGACTCGATCCCAGGACCCTGGGATCATGACCTGAGCCGAAGGCAGACGCTTAACCATCTGAGCCACCCAGGCGCCCTATATTGCTGTTTTTAATTTGCTTCCTTAAAAAGACAGAAAGTCACGAAGATGGTAATTATTCAACAGCTAGACTTCTGGACTCTGAGGAGGCAGCACAGACTTCTACAACTTTCTGTTTATAAAGAAATTCGCTCCAACTCTTCTTCAGTGAATCTAAAATTGTGTCTAGAGAGCAGATTAAAGTACCAAAGATGAAAACACACTCATGTGCATTCTTTTAAAGGGATAGAGGGAATAACCGCCTTCCCCATATGGAAGGGTGGCTGGCCCTTGGCTTCTCCACCTCCTCGGAGACAGAGGAGTGAATCTGACTGGCGAGTCTGAGAGGAAGACAAGTATATGGAGCCCAGCGCCCCTTCTCCTCTTCCATCCTTTCCCACCTGCCAAGAACACAGAATCTCCTCAGGCCTGTGGCCTGTGGTTGGTAAGCCCCAGGTGAGTTGATGTGCCCAGTTCTGAGAGTGAAGTACAGACCCCAGCCATGCTCCCCAATATCATTTTTATCAGTTAACAACAACAAAAGTAAGATTATCTCTTTTCTCTAGGATCTTATGTCCCTCATCTCTTTTTCATGTCATTTCACAAAATCTTTTTCCTAAGACAATTTTAACACAGTCTAATGTGAAATCGTTAATTGAAGAATACATTCACTTACCAGATGTGCTCTGGCAAACACAATAGGGAGCCCAAAAGCTGAGACAACAATGCCTGTTGTAAGAAATATGGCAAGTTCCTTACAAGCGTTACTCATAGCATCTGTATCATCCACTAATCTTCTCGCTATGCAGTATGGGATAGGTGAAAGGATGTAAAAAAACAGAACAAAGAGAGGCCAGTATTGGCTAGAAAAAAAAAATAAGTTAATGTAGTTTTTGCTATCTATGTCATTTTCCTACACAATATACGCTTTTTAAAAATAAGGACCAAAGAAATATTGCAAGGTACAAAACATGATACAGTTTAAAAATAAACAATAACCTGAACACTCAAAAGAGAAACATTTAGTCACAGTATTTCTACAGTCAATTATGACACAGTGATTAAATATTTCTTATACTAAAAGAAAATGCTTTATAAATTAAAGCAGTTGGAATCAAGGCCCAAAATTAAAATATTTTTTATTTTAGGTTATAAATAAAGAGGCATATGGAAAATAGAAATATTAACACAGCATTTTTAAAATTCAAGATTCATGCCCTTGACTCCTAATGAATGACAGCCTTCTTAGGGTAAAGCTGGAACATCCCCAAACTCTTGTTAGGTCACTGTGAGCTCCCCAAATACTGAAGTCAAAATGTAGAAAACAAACTGAAAGTAATACTGAAGACTTTCAGTCAGAATATAGAAAATAGATGGCTTTTAATGTACAGTCTAGCTATTCTATTATGCCAATGTCATTTCCTGGTTGGATAATACAGCTACAGTTATGTAAGACAGGGCCACTGGGGGGAAGCCTGTGTGAAGGGTACAGGGGACCTCTCTGTACTATTTTTGCAGCTTCTTGATAGTACATAATCATTTCAACATAAAAAGTTGAAAAAACACAAAAGCCACAAAAAGTGAAAACTCCAAGCTGCCCATATCTCTCCTGCTTTCTCCTTCCACTCTCCTAATGACCTTCTTGTGGATCCTTCCATATTTCCATACAGATAAATTTTAACAACATGAATCATTGTACTTTTCCATTTAACAATGTATCTTGAACACCTTGACATATTAGCACTTACAGCTCCTCCTCATTCTTTTTAAGACTGCCTACTACTTCCATTGATCGACATACCAGAGTTTAACCATTTCTCCTTCGTCAGGCCTTCAGGATGCCTCCAGGTTTTTTGTTTTTTTTTTTGGTTGTTATTATAAACAAGGCTGCCATGAGTATCCATACTCTCCCCTCACTACACATATCTTGGCAAACACCTGCCAGTAGATTTATATGCGAAATTCTAAGTGGAAAGACTAGTTCAAGGAATATATACATTTTGAGAGCTACAAGCAAACTGGCCTCCAAGATGACTGCCCGTAGCTATTCCTCCACCCCACTGCACAGGACAGTGCCTGTCTGCCCATAGTTTTTATCTCTGCCAAAGGATCTTATTTAATTTTGAGAGAGGCTGAGTATAATTTCATGTGCTTATTAATAATTTGTAGTTCTTTTTTCATATTTGTGCAAATTTTTCTATTTAGTTGTCTATATTTTTCTTACTAATCTATCCTCTTAATTTTTAAATTTTAATTTTAATTTAATTTAAATTTTTAAATTTTCTATCGTATGGAAAGTAATTGCTTATATGACTTTTTTTCATAGTCAACTGTCTCTTGATTCTGTTTCTGGTATTTTTTGCTGAAAAGACATTTTATACTTTCTTGTGTTTAATTTTATCAATAGGCACTCAAAACTGAGCAGTAGTGCAATAACCAAAAGTGTTTTTCGCACTTCAAAAAAGGTTTGTCCTTGGTAAATGAACATTGAAGCTTTCATTCAAAAAATTTATAAAGCTTTAAAAGTAGAAAAATTTTACCCTTAAACACTCAAAAAGACAAAAATTTTACATACTTGTATATTGGAAGGGCACATCCAAGCATCAAAAACATCAGCCCAATTGCTCCTCCAAAGGACAAACTAATCAAAGCTGCAAAGTAAATAGAGTCAAATACAAATATTAATTAAACTAAGTATTATTTTTATTAATATTAGTATTAGCAGTCTGCATATTACGTGTGACCCCAGAAGCAAAAAGCAAAACACAACACAAAAAACAAATGCATTAAAAGTGAGTTATCTTCAAGAGTGTAAGTTATCTATAGTCTCAAAATAAGTTTTTTGTGCCATCTTCAAGGCAAAATAAAGCAACACTGATTTTCAAAGCCCTGACCCATCGTGAGCACACCACCACATTCCCTCGTTACTGGCTCCATTTCTAATGAGTATCCTAGCCCGCCAGATCAATGCTCTTCCAGTCATTAGTGTTATATTTACTCCACAGATCATTATAGTTTGAAAAGCAGGATGTGGAGAAACTGCATTCTCAGCTTTACTGGACTTTAGAACCTTATCCTATGGGAAAGTCTCTCATGATCAACTCCTGCTTATTGCACATACACCCCCAATGTGCTCAAAACTGATTAAGAGTGTCCAATGACATCTGGAGTTAATAATTTTAATCAACTAATTTTGATATAGACCTTTGAGTAGTTTACAAAACTATAGTTGGGTTTCTTCTACACATTGGAAAATGTGCAGGATAATAGGTAAAAATCCTTCTTTGGTATCACTATTTTATGATATTATCACAAGCAACAGATGCATTCTACAGGTGAAACATAGTTTCTGAAGTTATATACACACATATACAAAGCATTATATTTTATAAAGTGTTTTCACTTTATAGTGAGTAGTGAGTAGAAACAACTTTCTTCAATAGGCATAATCAATGGCCTAGAATTAAGCAAAGATATAAATGATTGATTTATTTTGAGTTCTATATAACCTGTATTTCCTCAACTACATTGGTTAAGAGAATAACTTAGGTGTTTTTTGTCTTAAAGGATGCAGTCCATTAACCTTAAGAGAAATATTAAAATTCAAAAGAGTTGTAGAAGGTCTAAAAGTTATCGGGAGAAAAACTAACACATACAAACCAAAATTAACAGTAAAGGGGTTAAATGCTGCCCAGTACTTCTGACAGACTTCTGTGGATTAAAATGGTGATAATCAAGAATACCCATTCACATGGTAGGTTGGCAAGTTTGATTTTCACTTAGATCACGGATGTAGGTCATGTCAACCTTGAACACATTTATTTAATCCTTAATGCCATTACATCTTCAGTTACAGAAAAAAGAAAGAAAAAGAATTACTTTTATTTTATAGCAGATAACCTCAAGTTTACAATGGAATGCAATGTCAACTGTCAAGAAAATACTGAGTTTATCATTTGTTTTGTTCACAGGCCCTCAAAATCTGGCCCTGCTTACTCTCCTGACACACTCACACCAGCCTATTACCCCTTGCTCTCTGCACTTCAGTCACACTGGCCTTTCCTCTCCTGGAAATCAGCAGGCTCCCTCACCCACATGGCCCTTGTACATGTTGTCCCTTCTACCTCAGACACTTTTTCATTCATTCATTTCATTCAAGAAATACTTATTCAAGAAATATTTACTGAGAACCAAATACATAACAGGTGCTGCAGATATGTTAATAAACCAGACAAGGCCCTTCTACACGCATGAAGCTTGCATTCTTGTCCCATTCCCTTCCTCTTTCTTCCAAGTGAACTCCTCCATGTCCTTCAGATCTCAGCTCAATCATTTCTTCCTCACTGAAGTTTTTTCAAACCTCCTGCTAGACCAATTCCCTCAATTCATTCGTTCAACAAATATCTGTTGATCACCTAATACATGTCACACATTGTTCTTGATACTGGAGATAAAGCAATGAAAAAAAAAAATCAAAGCTCTTGCTCTCATGAGGCGTATATTCTAGCAGGAGAACAAAATGATTAAAAAAAAAAACTAAGTTAGCAAATGTATGTTAAGAGTTATGGAAAAAATCAGGTAGAGTTAAGAGGATGGGAGTACTATTCTGGACAGAGTGGCCTGGGGAGGCATCTCTGATAAGGTGACATCTGAGCAGAGATTTATATGAAAAGAGGGAGTGAATCATGTGGATATCTGAGGGGAGCATTCCAGCAGAGGGCCATGCATGTGCAGAGGCCCCCCACCACCTGTACTGTATACATCCCCTTTGCTCAGTTATCACAGCTGTAATTTTATAATGATTTGTAACTGTTTTTCCTCTTTTAAATAAAGACTTTATTTATTTTAGAGAGAGAGAGAGAAAGAGGTAAGGAGCAGAGGGAGAGGGACACGCAGACTCTGTGCTGAGCACAGAGCCCAACATGGGGCTCAATTCCATGACCCTGAGATCATGACCTGAAGCAAAATCAAGAGTCAGATGCTTAGCCAACTGAGCCACCCAGGCGCCCCTGTATCTGCTTTTCCTCATGAGCTGTCTGGTCCACCACAGCAGGGAAAAAGTTTTTCTGTTGTTGATACTCACACCCCAGCTCTTAACACTGAATAATAAATATCTGTAGAATGAGTAAAAAGAACCCAAGGGAAAAAAGAAAGGGACAGAACGGAAGAGGAGGGGAAGATCATGCCAAAGCAGCAGAGTAAAAACAGCACATAAATGAAAAGTCAGGAGACAATGGGTCCCTAGTCCCTACTAGCCACTTAACTAGCTGTCCATATAATCGTATCTGTTCTTTCTTCTATAAAATGAGACTTGGATTAGAACTAAAATGCAAATAATTCTCTGAACACTAAAGGTACTTGTTATAAGACATGCTGAAGAAATAAAAAGCCATCTCCACTTAAAAATTTTTTTATGTAACTGTATAATTAACATACAGTGTTAAATTAGCTTCGGGGAACCATCTCCACTTTTTGAATGTAGTTGCAAAACAGCTGAATTCACCACTATAAATACTATATAGTAACAACTTATTTATTCAGAAGCCATTTATCCAGAATATAGTTTAGAATCCTGGAGGAAACAAGGGTCACTAAAGAGTAAAACAGATGTCACAGAGCCCACACATTAAAGCTACCATTCTTTATAAACAGACCCTTAGGCTCTTATTTAGTCATTATTTATTCATTTTTTTGGATACAATTGTTGTATGTGAATTTCAGCAGAATTAAAAAAGAGAGCCATCTATATTCATTTATACATTTTTTTCAATAGCAATTCATGTAGCCTGAACAAAATTAAGTGAGAAGTAACTTTCCCTACCCAGAAATGATCACTATTACCTGTAACTTGTAACATAAAATTTTGTAAGTTTGAAGATCTTGTTTCCCACATTGAAACAAATGAGAAATAGGAGGTAGAACTGCACATAAGCAAGATCTGCCCTCTGACAAGAGAAAGGAGACTGGAAAAAAAAACAAAAAAACCTTAAATCAGACAGAAAAATTTCAAAAAGCATACCTGTTTGTGGTAATCTTGGCCAAAAGGCAAGTAGCTTTAGGGCTTGATGGCCTCTGCAGGCAACTCTTTCATGACAGAGAACAGTTATTTATGTTCTTATCAAAAAAGAAAGTGTAAATTCTTTGAGTACACTCTTAGAAAGTTAATAAAAGAAGATCTCTTTTTTGAAAATTTAAAAATGAGAACAAGGTAAGATTTAAGTATCAAAAAATAATTTTATGTGACATCTCACCTCTAATCACACTGGATTAACCCCAATGGTGTTAAATACATTGCTCAAAAGTGTTCTCAAAACTTGTAAAGTTTCTCCAGGTTTATGAAATCAGCAACTAGGCTGATTTATACACAAATTTCATCATTTGTGTATAAATGGTTGTCCCAGATGACACATCAACAAGGCAAGAATTTATACCGTAATTGAGTGATGAAACATTTGGAGGGCAAAACTTAGATGAGTCTGCTTTCTACTCCCAAAGCCCCTAGACTCAGGATGGAACAGCCCAATTACCTAAACTCTCTAGAGACAGGGTGCTGATTCTGTGACTACAAAGAAATTAGCGTAGCAGGGACCAGTTCCCTAACCTGGGAGTTATCAGAAAAATCTAATATATAGCCAAATAATAGGCAAATGGCTTAAGAATTAAGTAATGGTCTCCAATTATAGCAACACTCCTAATACAAAGATAGGCCAAAGAAAGAAAATGTCCTGATAAAACAGTCATAACAATCAGAAAATCTTACTGAAACCAAAAGTGTAAGTACAATTCCATCTGAGATAATTTCACCTGGTTAATATTTTCCTAAATTTGGAGAAGGAAATTACAAAGTTATTTTTTTTAAGAGGGAGATTTCCGTTGATGACACTGAAGAAATGAGAAAGGACTGGGAAACTGGCAACATCCTTAAAAACCACAGCATTCTACCCTGCCTTTCCACACAAGGATTTAAGGAGGTCTATCACAGTTCAAAAAAATATTGAAAATGAACTTTGTTGCTTATCTATTGACAAAGTTTTACATCAGAAATGAAATGTTTTCAGACATTAAGCCAGAAACAGTAAAAATGTGACTCTGGGAAAGAAGCTCAATAAAAGTTGTCCTAAAGGAAATAAATAACACAGAAAAAAAACACTGCTATCAAAGTTCTTCACCTCCTGCTTGCCTGTCCCTTCTACAAAGCCGCAGGTCAGGAAATCAATGCAATTCGTGGTCAAAAAGTTGAAAACGCTGTCAACGGTGTTTCCTTCTAGTCACATTAACAAAACTACCAAACAATTTGAAAGAATGCAGCCTTCCTTATTTCTAAAGAAAACAGACGAATAAACGAGTAATTTTTCATTAAGTTTTCACACTATTTTATTTCTTTAACGAACCCAACTGTGGAGAACAGGGGCACTTCGGGGTCGCTTACAGGGTCTAACCCTATCTGACAAACACTACAAATCAAAACGCATCAGTTTCTGAAGCCTGTAAAGCTTCGAGTACAGGTCCTGGGAGTGGATGTGATGGCCAAGGTTTCGGAAAGAACCGTCCCTAAGTCCTTCCAGGGCGTTCCGGAGGGACTCGGTTTCGCTCAGCACCCGAAGATCGCACTTGTGCCTTTAAGAGGGAAATGACACTGATTTCCCGTAACTGGCATCTCTAGGGGCCTCAAGCCCCTCAAAAGCACTCCCCGCTCGCCTCTCTCTTCGGATGCAAACTCCTGCAAAACGGGTGTGATGGCCCGAGGTGCTGCGGGACTCTCGCAGACCAAGGACCACTTCATTCTTTGTACGGGTGCCGATGGGTGGGAGAGAGGCTGCCGAGATCAGCAGGAAGTAGGGGCTGACGGAGAAGCCGCCCACCCTGCCGGCCCTTCCCGGAGGGCGCCGCGCCCAGCTCGGCTCCCAGGCTGCGAGGGCGGAGGCGGAGGCGGGGGTCGAGGGGCGGGAGGCGGCCGCCAGCGCAGGGACCTCCGCGGCGCGCGCCCGGGCCGGAGAGGCGGCGTGCGGGGGCCGCGAGGGACCCCCTCCCCCTCTCTCGGGCGGCCACCCAGCCCTCCGGCGCCCTGCGCCCCAGGCCCACCTTTGATGCCGGCCATGGCGGTGACGTCGCTCCTGGCTCCGGGACCCGAGGCGGCAGCGGCGGCGGCGGCGGCCGGGGGACCGGAGACGCGCGGCGGCGGCAACCAGACAACACCCGGAAGTGCGCGACGCCGCACTTCCGCCGGCGACTCGCGCTCGCGCGGGGGCGCGGGGGGCGCGCCGGGTTGGGGGCGGAGGGGCCGACCCCTGCTTTCCCTGCCGTGGTGCTGTGCGGGTTGCCGTCCTCGCCCGCTTGGCGTTCTCGCCTGGGTTCCGTTCCTATTTTCCCTTCAGGCTCGGGGAAGCTCCACTCCCAATCCCCCATCGCGGATCCTGCAACCTCCCACATTCTTGGAGCGTGTAAGGGAGCGCGAGTAGCCGCCGTCCTTTGGGAGGCATGCTGTGATGTCTTCGGAGGATGGTATTATGGTCTTTAAAGCGCACCCTTGGCTCTCTCCTCCCCAGCCTTGTAATAGAAGTCAGTCCAGTTAGGTCGTTGGCACTTGGCTCCTTGGTTTCCGACCCAAATCGAGTTCTGGTGAGCCCCACCTCCACAGATAAGGAGCAGCGGGACCAGAAAATACAAATACACATTTTAATGCAAATCCGATCTCTTGGGAGTCTGTGAGAATCGCTGTTTATTTGTTGTTTTTTTTTGTTTTTAGTAGTAGCAGGGCTAGGAATAAAAAGGAGAAAGCAGAGGGACAAATACACTTAAGTCATCCTTCAAATGCACTCAACATTTACTATGTTTGGGGAACAGGGCTAGGTACTGGGGTGAGCTAAACTAGGTGCGGTTTCTGCCCTGAAGGAGCTTGCAGTTTGGTGAGACACAGGCACACACACACACAAATGTAAAATTGTAACAGTGATAATTGTTAGGAAGACGGGTAGATAGTCCTTGACAGTCTTTGATTTCGATCAGAGAGATTTCCCCGAGGGAGGGACAACGGAAGGATGAGCGGGTGTGTAACTAGAAGACAAAAGGGAAAAACCGTTATGGGGAAGAGAGATGGTGTTGGGGGCGGAGGTGGGAGAAGTGGTTGGATGGTGAGCTTGGGAGGCAAACTGGGGCCCAGGAGCTTGGTCTGTTGGAGAGAGGAGAGAAGGCGAGTGGGATTGCTCCCGGCTAGGGTAGGACAGCAGAGTCCTATATTAGACTTTTCCCCCTCCTGAGCAATGAGAATCTTTCCAAGGGTTGTATTTATTTATTTTTTATTTGTTTAAAGATTTTATTTATTTATTTGAGAGAGAGAGAATGAGAGAGAGCACATGAGAGGGGGGAGGGTCAGAGGGAGAAGCAAACTCCCCGCTGAGCAGGGAGCCCTATGCGGGACTCGATCCCAGGACTCCAGGATCATGACCTGAGCCGAAGGCAGTCGCTTAACCAACTGAGCCACCCAGGCGCCGCCCTCCAAGGGTTTTAAAAAGATACAGGTGGAGGGGCTTGACATAAGATTTGAATTTTTCAATCTTTTCAGTCACCAGACTAAGATAAACTGGCATGTAAAACGTTGTTGAGTGAATGGTTAGAAGAGATGTTTCCAAAATGCTTTAAAATGGGAGGTACTGAGAGCTAAAGGTATTGTCCTACCCTGCTTCTCTCCACTACTTTCAGGGTTGAATTATAATTTTTTATTTATTTTTATTTTTATTTTTTTTAAGACTTTATTTGTCAGAGAGAGAGAGAAAGCGTACAAGCACTGGGAGCGGCAGGCAGAGAGAGAAGCTGGCTCCCCGCTGAGCAGAGAGCGGGATGTGGGACTCAATCCCAGGACCCTGAGATCATGACCTGAGCCGAAGGCAGATGCTTAACCGACTGAGCCACCCAGGTGCCCCGAATTATAATTTTTTAAAAAACAGGTCACTTGAGGCTTAATGTCCCCAATAAATCTATAGATACCTTGTGGAGGAGTAGAATTTTTTTCTATTCAAGTTAGTGCAAAAAATTCTGGCATCTTCTGAATCATGAAGAGTTTCCATTTAAGGACTGTAGTAGTGAAAACACAAGGCGAACTTGAACATATGCTATAGAAATGTTGCTGTTTAAGACAGTCTGTGAACCACCAGCTCCTTTCTCTAAACTGAAGCAGGTGTATGCATCCTATTCCCCAACCACCTTGAAAGGAGTAGGTGAAATTCTTGGAGACATAAATGATTCTGTGACTCCAAATAGTCACCACTAACACCTTTCTTGTTTTGTTCCACAGTATTCATCCTTGAAAGCAGGATGGTTGAGGGAACATAATAGAGATAGCTTATCAGTGGTGGTGGTATTGGTGGTGGTGAAAGTGATAGGTTCTTATCTCATGGACTCATAGCTTGGCTCCTGGGGGAAAGATCACATTTTAGGAAGCCTTTTGGGGCTTCCACAAGTCCCTGTAGCTGAGGTAAGTGCTAGTCCCCTAATTTCCTCTTGTGAATACAAATGGGTTGGGCATTGCAGATATTCATCCTTGATAACATTAACAGGCAACTGGGATTGTTCTTCAGGTTAGAAGGATCTATGTTCTTTTGCTTCCATGGTCACAGAATCCAATGATATTATGCTTCTTTGACTTTTCCATGAGATCCACAGTGTTACTAGCAAGAAAACACTCACCATCCTAAGTACTATTTTGGTCTACAGATGTTGTCTGGAGACACTTGAGACCTTAAAAACAGTGTTTCCAAATGTATTTCAACTACCTACAATAGAATTCTTTAGGATGCTTCCCAAAAATACAAATTCTTGGATCCCACTCTGGACCCAGAAGTTCCGAATCAGAACTTTTGAGGGCAGAGCCCAGGAATCTGAAATTTTATCAAGCACCCTGAAGACTTCCTATGCAAACGAAAGCTTGAAAATAATTGTCTGAAAAAGGTAGAATGTCAGGAATTACCTTCATTAGATTGCCAAGTAAATCCTAATCATTAGTTAATGTTGTATCCTTTAAACGTTCTCTAAGTATTCTTACAAAATAGTTAATCAGTGTTACCCTACATAGTTTCAAAACTTATTCAGATGGCTTCTTATCCTCCAAAGTTAACTCACAAAGATGGGGATGGGGGTGAGAGGAAGAGAGCTATTGTTTATTGAGCAGCTGATATGTGTCTGGTGCTTTAAACATCTGATTTCATCCACTCCACAATTTTGTACATTTGGAATTACTAACTCTTACAGATAAAGTCAGACAAACTTCAGGGAAGCTTTTAGTTTTGGTTTAAAAAATGTTATTATGGAAAAAGTAAATATATAAAAAGGAGTCAGGATACTATAATGAATGAACTACCTTCAAAACTTAACACATGGGGTGCCTGGGTGGCTCAGATGGTTAAGCATCTGCCTTCGGCTCAGGTCATGATCTCAGGGTCCTGGGATCGAGTCCCACATCGGGCTCCCTGCTCCTTGGGAGCCTGTTTCTCCCTCTGCCTTTCTCTCTCGCTCTGTCTCTCATGAATAAAAAAAAAAAAAAAAAAAAAATCTTTAAAAAAAAATTAAAAAAAAAAACTTAACACACGTTCAATGTTGTTTTGTCTATACTTCCCATCCTCTTTCCCCTACCCCCCATATTATTTTTCCCCAAATTATTTTGAAGAAAATTCCGGACATAATTTCCTCTCTAATATTTTAGTATATTTCTAAAAGAACCATTAAAAATAACATAGCCATAGTACATTTATGAAACCTAAAAAACAATTTTTTAACATCATATATCTAGTCAGTGTTCAAATTTCTAATTGTCTCATAAATGTCATTTATTTTCTAGTTTGTTTGAATCAGGACCCAAATCAGGTCCACACATTCCTATTGATGTGTCTCAGAGATGATTTAAGAAGCTGCCTCTTATTATTTAGATCTCAGCTCATATGGTAGCTTCTCAGAACCCTTCCTGGACATCCCATGTATTACAGAACTTCACTTTATATTATGCTGTTTTCTTCTTCTTTTTTAAAAATTGAAGTATAGGGGCACCTGGGTGGCTTAGTCAGTTAAGTGACCGACTCTTGGTTTTGGCTCAGGTCATGATCTTGGGGTCATGGGACAGAGCCCCCTGCATGGGCTCTTCCTCTGCTTCTCCCCACCCCCCCACCCCCCCACCATCCCACCCTCTCTTTCATAAATAAATGAGATCTTTAAAAATTGAAACATAATTAACATACAGTGTTGTATTAGTTTCAGACATACAACATATTGATTCAACAATTCTATACGTTAGTCAGTGCTCACCATGATAAAAATGTAGTGACTCTCTGCCACCAAACAACATAATTACAATATTGACTATATTCCCTATGCTGTACTTTTCATCTCTGTGACTTATTTATTTTATAAATGGAAACCCCTTAATCCCCTTTATTTCACCCATCCTCCTAGTGACCTCCCCTCTAGCAACCATCAGTTTGTTCTCTGTATTTAAGAATCTGGTTTTGTGTGTGTGTGTATTACTCTCTTTTGTTCTTGAACGTGCTTATTATTTATCTGAACTATATTATTTGTTGGCTGTCTCTCCCTCCAGAATGTAAGTTAGGATAACCTTTAGTGTTGTATTCACCACTATCCAGAACTATACATGGCAAATGATGTGATCTCAAATAACAGCAGTTCTCTTGTTAAGGTAATTAATGCCCTCTACATTGCAAAATCCAAAGGTGGCTTTTGGATTCAACCTTTCAACAACAGTGGACACTGTGGACCATTGTCTTTCTCTCAACTACCGTATTGCTTCCTTTCTGGCTTTCTTCAGATCTCGCCAGAGGTTACTTTTCAGACTCTTTCTAGGATCTTCTTCTGCCCAGAATTCAGATAATAGTGTTCTTAGTTTAGTCCTGGGCCTCCTTCTTTGCCATATCTAAATTCTCTTCCTATGCATTGTACCTTTTTCTGTGGCATTAAATACCATCTTCATTTTGATAACATCAACTACCAAGTTTACCTTAACTTTGAAATACAGACTTACATATCCAAGTGTCTGTTTGACATGTCTATCTGGATGCTTAATAGTCACTGCGAACTTAACATGTTGAGAACAGAATTTTCTATTATCTTTCTTACAATCTTGATTGGTCCCACTCCAAGCCCCCACTGCTCAGCTTCCTCTTGTTCTGCTCTTCCCCTAAATTACTTTGCTTCAGTGATGTTGGACTTGTTTGCCTCTCCCACCCCCTGAATTTTGTTTTATTCACTACTGTATCCCTAGTGCCCAGAACAGTGCCTGGCAGGTACTGTTAGGTACTGGTGGATGCTCGATATATAAA